ATTAAGAAAGCTAAGTATACACATTATAAAACATTGACAGAAAAAAACTCAGGTGATCCAAAGAAAGTATGGAAAATTATAAAAGAAGCCACAAACGACCAGGTTTCCAGGTTGGAAATAAAGAGCATTAACTGCAATGGGAATGTAATAACAAATGGAAACCAAATTGCCAATGAATTTAATGGGTATTTCACAAATATCGGAAAAAAATTGGCTGACAAAATTCTGGCGGGGAAAGGAAGGAGGGTGAGGGAGGAAGAACATAGGGCAGTGGGTTCTTTTCTACTCGATCCAGTTTCGGAACTAGAATTAGTGAGCCAAATACAGAGTTTAAAAAATGGGGTTAAAGGGGGGGAGGATAGCATTTGTTCGAATATATTTAAAGAGTACAAGGACAATTTGGTGATTCCACTGATGCATATTATCAATGTTGTTTTTATGTCGGGAGTTTTCCCTGAGGTTTTGAAAAGTGCAATAGTTATTCCTTTGCATAAGCAAGGAGACAGAAAAGCAATGAATAACTATAGGCCAATTACATTAACAAGTACCGTCAGCAAGATCATTGAAAAATGCTTCAGAAATAAACTATTATTTTTTCTTGAGAAGAATAATTTGTTGCACAAAAATCAATTTGCCTTCAGGGAGAACTCGAGCACGGAGAATGCATTATGTGGACTTACAGAAACAATATTGAAACATTTGGATCAGGGTAAAAGGGTTATAGGGGTATTTTTGGATTTGCGGAAGGCGTTTGATACTGTGGCGCATCAAATTTTACTTGAAAGGCTGGAAAAAATGGGGGTAAGAGGGATCCCTAATGATCTAATTAGATCATATCTACAAAGGCATCAAAGTACGCAAGTTCTAGGAGAGGAAAGCGGGAAGCTGAAGGTGGAATTTGGTGTGCCACAGGGAACAGTGCTCTCTACACTGCTGTTTAATGTTTATATAAATGGGATATTATCTATTGCCAGTGAAAGTGGGGAAGTTTTTTGCTTTGCTGACGATGCAGGGGTAGTTGTCAGTGGAGATGGTTGGGATAGAGTTAGAGAGAAAGCTGAACTTGTGCTGTCAAAAATAAAAGAATGGTTGGACTATGGCTTGCTATCGTTGAATGTGGAGAAAACTAAATTTGTGACTTTCTCTCTTTCCGTGCGTTCATTGCCGGATTTCCAAAGTATCAAACTTCATGATACTGGATGTGATTTAACTGGCCAATGTAATTGTAATATGTTTATTGAAAGGAAGAGAAGTATTAAATATCTATTTATTTATTTATTTATTTATTATTTATTACAGTCCTTGGGATACAAACAGAACATAATTCCAAAAATAGTATCCCGATATTACCAAAGTAATATCTATACTTTGCTTAAAAAAAAAAAAAAATATATATATAATATATAAAAATTTATATAAGTAATCACAAGTTATATATCACATTGGTATATGTAGAGGTCTTCGTTGTTCTAATCTAAAAACTTAGGTAAGATTTAATTATTCAACAAATCACAAATAAAATATCACACTAGAGTTCATTCTAGAAACTTAAGTTTTAGGTTTTTTTTAAAAGTTAACAATTTTGTAGCAAATAAGTCCAAATTAGAAGTAGTACAATGCAAATTAACAGCCTTAAGCATCCTGACTAAAGGTGCGTTTTGGTAATAGTTAGTTCTACAATAAGGAATGCAAAACAGATCATGATTTCGAAGTGTTCGAGCAGGTACATTGAATTTAATTTTAGAGAGAATACTCGGGGAGTCAGATAAGTTATTAATTATTTTAAATATTGTCATGATATCTGATATAGTTCGCCTTTTTTCTAATTCAAGAATTTTGAAATGTGATCTAGCCATTGAATAATCATGATCTACAATACGGAAGTGGGTTTTAAAACATAAAAATCTTAGAAATTTGTTTTGAATTTTTTCCAATCTGTCAATTGAGTTTTTGTATCTGGGGCTCCATATGACTGAGGCAAATTGCAATTTACTGAAAACATATGCGTAGTAAAGAGTTATGATTGTTTCTTGTTGCTGAAAATCGGCACATTGTCTTTTAATAAATCCAAGAATTCTATTACAATCATTAACTAATTTGTCAATGTGCAGATTAAACATCATTTTAGAATCAAAAAGGACACCCAGATCTTTGATATGAGTAACCCTATTCAAAGAAGTATTTCCTAATTTATAGCTATAGTTTATAGTAGTAGATCCACGTGAAAATGATAAAACAGAGCATTTGTCAAAATTTAAGAATAATTGGTTTTCATTACAAAATTCTATGAGGTTGTTTATACAAGTTTGAAGGGTTTCACAATCTGATATTGAACTAATTCTAAGAAATATTTTTAGGTCATCAGCGTAACCGAGAAACAAGCAAGATTCAAAACACAACTGAATATCATTAATATAGATCACAAATAGTAAGGGGCCAAGATGGGAGCCCTGCGGGACCCCCGAAGATGGAGAAAATCTCTCAGAGGTAAACCCTAAAAGGGCAACAAACATTGATCTTTTAAGTAAATATGATTTAAACCATCTAAGGAGGTCACCGCAGATTCCCACCTCCTCCAATCTCTCTATCATAATGTTATGACAAATTTTATCAAATGCTTTGCTGAAGTCTGTATAAATTACGTCCACCTGACAGAAAGCATCAAATGATTCATAAATGTATTGAGAATATTCTATCAAGTTTAACTCCAGACTCCTCCTTTGTAATCTAGGAATATACATTGATGAAAATTTTAATTGGAAAGATCACATCAACTATGTAACAGGCAAAATCAGAAAAATAATTTATAAATTTTATGAATTGAGAAATATTTTAAATTTGAAAACACTTAAGTCAGTTTATTTTGCATTGGTGGAGTCAATAATTACCTATGGACTGGTGGTCTGGGGTGGCGCAGGATCAACAATTATGAAAAAACTTGAAATTGCACAAAAATGGATAATTAAGATCATGTTGTTTAAAAAGAAAAGGTATTCAACAGAATTAACTTATAGGGAAAGTGGAATCTTAAGCCCAAATCAACTTCACATAAAATCCTTAGTCAGATTTATGATAAAAATGCCAAACTATAGAGAAGAAATATCTCATAATTTGGGAACTAGAAGTGCAGCTAAGAATAATTTGGTGCTGCAAAACCCCAGGCATAATGTATGTCAGAATCATATCTATTATGTGGGTCCAAAGATATATAATAGTCTACCAATGCGGCTGAGAGCAAGACCATATAATAGGATTAAAAAGGAAATTAGGGACTGGATTCTGGAGAGTAATATTAGTATTAATTTTGTTGTTTGAAGAAGGGATAGATCAAAAATGATAGGATTTATTCTTTTGTTTTGAATGGTATATGAGTATATATATATTTTTTTTTTTGTGGATTGTAGAGTATAGATTTTTGAAATCGATTTTGCATGATTATTTGATATACAATTGAATATGTACATATACCTTGAATATATTGTAGTATTAATGTAAGGGGTGCACACACAGTATTTTGAATACCATTGTGCACCTGAGACATTGGCAATTAGTATTAGTATGAGTATTAGTATAGGCTGCTTTCCATTATCAAAACCATAAAAATAATAATACTTCATCATAAAAACCTTGTAATTAATTCGAAATTCATAACTTTAACATGCCTTGACCAGGGACAGCAGAAAAAGCAAATCCTCAACCAAATCATTATATTGAAAATAGTTTTCAGGTTAGAAAATACTAAACTAAATTCTTGACAAAATGGAAACATTTTCAAGAAAATTATCAAGCATTTTGTGACTAAAACCTTGAAAATACTGATTGTCCAGACACACTTGGGTGAGAATTTCTAACTTTATTAGTACTTTTCTAGTTCTAGGGTTTTTCTGCAATTTGTCAAGATACAAAATTGGATATTTTACTTCTTATTTAAATGAGTATTGTTTGGTTTCTTCAATGAATAAATAAACCTTTTAGGTGATAAAATCTAGTTACTTAGCACTCAAATTCTTTTTTCAACATAAAGAACTTGCAATGAAAACTAAAGAATTTTTGAAATTTATGACTTCAACATGCCTGGACCAAGGATAGTGCAAAAATCAGATACCTACTTTTTAGGTTAGAGAAAATAGTAAACTACAAATGCTTGATAAAATGAAGCATTTTTAGAAGAATTTCTCAAAATTAAACAGGCATTACATTACGATTGTGTATTACTAAAAGATTGCCTGGGCATTTGAGAAACACACAAACAACAATTACAAACCTCTAGAATTTCCCTCTTTTCAGAACATAAAATTCTATACACAATATTTACAACTATTTTTATTGATAAACTAAATACAACAAATAATAAATTGATGCTTCTTGTAACGGCGTTACCTTGATTTTTACGTTTACGAGCTTTTGTTCCTTTATCCGAAATGCGTTTGGCTTGGCTGCAATTTTCTAACCTTCAATAATTTGCCTCTGTGGCTTGATTAGCTGATTAAGGAAATGCGATTGATTTTTTTCCCCCCCGAGATGTTTGATCATGTAAATTGGCGCCACACCCCCTTTTTCTATTCTCCTAGGTAATACAAACAAAATTTCACAATGCACTTATAGGAAAAATGCTCACTAATTTTGGTATTTGGCTTGGCGTCACCCTTTTTTTTGCTCAAGTACTACCTGTTTACAATCACTGTTTTTTTTTTTCTGTTATTATTTTGAGGAAAATTGTTTAGTGGAAAGTCGTTGGCGGTAATATTTAATCAAGCAGTACATTGTATTGTGACGATTTGTACTACTCGACTAGCTAGAACAAACGGTTCCGATTAGAGGTACGTGTGATCGTTTCTATTGGTTTTGACGTTGGAACGCGGGAAAGAACCAAATCGCATTTAACTTATAGACAAATGGGCATAAAAATGCACGGGAAAAAGGGAATTTTAAGCGTCGAATTGGCCGAATAAAAGAGAAATTAGTATCCGAAGCGTAATTTCAACATGGCGGGCACTTACGTTAGCCGTTCGACGGAAAGGCTCGTCAGAATTTTCCATTTTTTTGCACTCTACATAAAATTCCGCGGTTTAAAATTTGGTTTTTCATTGAGACAAGACTTTAAGCTATGCGAAAAACCATTACCTACGTATTTTCTCGGGTAATCCGCATGAGAATCACGAAAAATACGGAGCCACAAAACACTCACTCCACTTTTCACGGACTCGCTCACACCAAGCTTTGCGCGACGACCGTGATGGCGGCTGTGTGGCGTCCGGCCCGCTCGTCCGAAGGACCAAATCTTTCGATTTTCGTCGAATTAACGTTAAATGATTGCAAAAATATCGTCAAAATGGCCTTTTTAATAAGGATTCGGTTAAAATTGGCCCATAAAATGGACGTTTTAGTGCAAGTCGTTTTCGATGGTCGCAGATTAGGAAATTTTACAATGGCAGTTTTTTTGAGGTCAAGCATATGGCCTCCTTTTTTCGGTTTTTTTTTGGGGCGCCTTTACCACTAAACTAATTACCCGAAAATCTGCCTGTCCAATTTTTCCAATCAAATTTCCGAGGATTTTCTCTTGGATTTCTCTGGACACGTTTTTCGACTATTTTTCTTCCCAATATTATTTTTTTTGACTTGCAATGTTTACGAATCATTTGTTTATCGCTATGATGACGAGAATTTTTGCATTATTCGCTTGACTTTTCTGTACATTTCGGCCTCCAGATGATTTCTTTGGCTTTTCACGATTTCCACAAACATTTCGTCATATTGTGAAATCGAAAATTTATCGGAAAATCTTCTCGGGAATCGTGCAGCTCTACTCGATCGGCGAATAATGCGACTGCGCATTTTCATTTTCATTCAAAATTTTTCATTGTTTGACAAATGTCGATTGACAACTGACATCTCAAAGGTGAGGCGATTAATTTCAATTTTACCCGGGAATTTTGAAATTTACCTTCCTAACCAAGCTCATATAAAACATATTTTCAATCAAGTGATGAAATTTCAATTTAACTACTAGAATAGTAAATAAAAATTGATGTTTTCCTATATAAATAATATTCTCAGTGCAGCTCTAGAGGCAAAGCAAACGAACAAACCCATTGCATGAATTATCCTCAGCGCCATCTATGATCTTTTTTGCGAAAATTATTTAAACTTTTTTGCGGTAGAATAGAAATATTGAATAATTGCCCATATATGGTCGAGCAAATTGACTTCAATTAAATATCATCTGAAAGAGAATTAAATTGTCTATAGAACTGTACTAAAATTACCTTTGTTGAAGCTATCAACCTCCAGTCGATTTTTGATCGAAATTATTTCAAAAGCATCAAACTTCATTTCCTGAACAATCGTTAGGTCTGTCTCTGCAGAAATCACTAACCAGTCAGAGTGAATTTCATTGGTTGAAACTAGTTTTCTGACTGTTTTTAACCAATGAAATTCGCTCTGACTGGTTTGTGATTTCTGCAGAAACAGACCTATTATCTATAGGGATATGTAAAGGCCGTTTTACAGCTTGCAAGAAAACTTGAAGCCATTGGTGCGTAAATACGATTTATCTGAACTGGTTAGCGTTAGTGCGGTGCAGGTATGTTTTGGAACGCAACCATCTGAACCGGAAAATGTACGCTGCACGGTACGAATGGTGTAAAAAGTGCGCATTAATGACGGGTCAGGGTAAAAAGTGTCAGGACTTATCGTACGCACCACATTTATTGCATGCAAAAAAATTGCATTCAAGATTTCTTGCACGTCGTTTTACACCTTGCAATTTGACTTGTTTCTTTCTCTAACCTTATCCATACTTTTTTGTTTTTAACGTTGTGTTGTTGATGTTTGCATTTTACAAAAAATAAAAAAAGTGATTATAAGTCGATATAAAAAGAAGAAAGCAATAGCAGCAACTTTAGGCATCATAATTGCTAAAGGCCGTTTTACAGCTTGCAATTCTTTCTGCAATATGCAAGAAACTTGAACGAGGGCATGCGCAGAAGTGAGGCAGCTGATTGGTTTCTGCAAGATCCTTGAAACTTGAATGGCATTGCATGCAATCGGTTTGGTGCCATTTTTCTTGAAGGTTCTCGTGCAAGCTGGGGAATTTTTAGCAATTATGATGCCTAAAGTTGCTGCTATTGCTTTCTTCTTTTTATATCGACTTATAATCACTTTTTTTATTTTTGGAAAATGCAAACATCAACAACACAACGTTAAAAACAAAAAATTATGGTTGAGGTTAGAGAAGGAAACAAGTCAAATTGCAAGGTGTAAAACGACGTGCAAGAAATCTTGAATGCAATTTTTTTGCATGCAAAAAATTGCATTCAAGTTTTCTTGCAAGCTGTAAAACGGCCTTTAAAATTCCCCAGCTTGCACGAAAACCTTCAAGAAAAATGGCACCAAACCGATTGCATGCAATGCCAATTAAGTTTCAAGAATCTTGCAGATACCAATCAGCTGACTCACTTCTGCGCATACCCTCGTTCAAGTTTCTTGCATATTGCAGAAAGAATTGCAAGCTGTAAAACGGCCTTTAAGAATATTATTTTTTCTTGCAGCATTAAAAGAGCTACAACTACAATCCTTCGAAATTTTCTCTCAATATGCCTCACACTCCTTAATAAGATATTGAAAAATATATTTTGAATTGATTATATATTCAAAAAACCTAATAGGACTAAGGGCGGGTATTATAAAACTATTGTCAGATAACTAGTCTGAGTTCGGCTTTGCACTCCACCATTGAGCACTCCACGAAGCGAAACGCTATGAGCACGGATATCGTGACGTCATACGTGGTCATTTGCCCAACGAAAAAGAGAACACTCTGAGAGCTAAAACGAACAGGATCTTATCGTTTCGAGCGGGCTCAGAGTTTACAGAGTGTAAAGCCGAACTCAGCTAAAAGTTGAATTTTGGAATAGACCATCTTTTATTTATCAGTGATTTTACCAGACAAAGAGGTAATAATACGAAAGCTTTATTAGATAGAAAAAGACGCAGAACGCTTATTGCGCAAGACGAGACAAAACGTACCAAACCATGTTAGACATACCAATCCGTTCTTATTATTTGCACGGGATAAAAAAGGAAGAAGGAAAACCGCGTGATGTGCGATTCTTGGTGATGTGCAACGTATTTGTCAATCAAAAACAGAAACAATTGAAAATCGATCATTTGTCAAGCTATTTTTTATGTCAAATTGAATATCAAGCATAATTTTATCCTTGTCAGGCCACGGGCAATGAACAAGGACAAGGAGATGCCTATCGTGCAAAAGGATTACTTAACACCTGTACTGTTAGCCAATAAAAACGCATTGCCTCGTGTTGCGCGCGCATACAGGTAAAAATAGATAGGTCTATTAGGCAAGAATCGTACAATTAGGTATGTATTACATTCATGAGCATCAAAAATGGGACACCCGATTTTTCCTATTGTAAATGGGCTCACCCGGGGTACGTTCAAGGACGGCAATGCTAATGTCAAAACCTACTTTTCCCCCTCCACCTGTACTACCGAATCACGTAGGTTGGAGCCGAACTCGAACGCAAAATGCCAATTTTGGCTTGGCTATAGCCATTCCTGAACGCAGCCCAGATATACCGTCGGCAATGACAGAGATTGTCATATTTGACAAAAAATCCGTTGTACAGAAAAGACTGATATACTTATCCGAAATAGTGAAAAATGACAAGTCCTGTCAGTCGGGTTTCCCACTTTTAACTTTTAAGGCAAGGAGAATACACACTCAAAGCTTAATTCTCACTTGCGCGAAATTCGTTTTTTTTTTGACATTGTTTCGACAATTTGGCGTTTCATACACGCTTAACGTTAAATTGTCGAAGTAATTGTGATAAAAAGAGCGAATTTCGCGCAAAAAGAGCGAATTTAGGACAAGTGAGAATGAGGCATGAAGAGTGCTTATGGGCCTCGTTTTTGGTAATAGCTGAATCGCTGCAATATTGGTGTGTCACCATTGCCGACGTCATAACTAAGTCAACAGCTGTTTAAACAGCCTACGTCAAGACGAGAAATAACATGCTGCCTACGTCACAACTGGTATTTTGGCTTGGGGGGATTTGTTACACACAGGCCTTATGAGAATAGACCATCCTGTAGTAGTAGTGCGTATCATCCTCGCTTTTAAGGAGCATTCACATTCACTTCTAACTTCAAGTTAAAAATCTGACATTTAATATTTTATCACGCTTCACTTGGCCAAACATAAAACTGGTACAGGCAATACAGGGTGTAGAGTGTCCCCGTTCAATTGGTCAAAAAATACTAGGGTATATAGACCAACCATAGAGAAGTAGTTTGAGATAGGACACCGATGGTCAGAAGTGCGTCGTTTCCAAAATACAGGGTGTTGAAATTTAAACAACCTCCTTTCATATCATCTGGACTGCTTAATGCTAGGCTGTTCAAATTTTCAGGGATTACTGATGTAGGAATGATATTTAAAAATTCGTATAATGCACCCCCATATTTTCTACCACTTGAACCACCCAAAAAAAAAAAATTAAAAAATAAAATTTGAAAAAAAATAGCAATTTGTTCCAAATTCTATATTTTTTTCTGGGGTGGTTCCAGATAGAAAATGAGAGTGCATTATACGAATTTTCAAATATCATTCCTACATCAATAATCCCTTTTGAACAGCCTAGAATTAGCCCTCCAGATGATATGAAAGAGGGTTGTTTGAATTTCAACACCCTGTATTTTGGAAACGACGCACACCCGACCATCGGTATTCTGTCTCAAACTACTTCTCTATGGTTCCTCTATATACCTTAGCATTTCTGATCAGTTGAATGGGGACACCCTGTATATATTTTTTAAATTTGCCTAGTGTGAGTCAGGCTTAACAACAAAAGGTCTCTTCTTAAAAACTTAAATCAGACAGTTTTTGTCAATTGTCAAAGCTGAACAAAAGTAAATGCAACCAGGGCCGAGTTCAGAAATAACGCACAGGGTGCGAGTGCGATTTTATGGGTGTGCCTGAATTGACAATTGGCCATTGGGCCCATAGCACCGTCTAGCATTTTTGAACCGCTAGGACGTCGTACCGGTGTCACACTCACACTGGGTGTGTCATTCCTGAACTCGCCCCTGGTTTTTATGTTTGGTTCAAAGATGACATTGACTTATTGACTCTTTTTTTATCATTTTTGAGGTGATAAAAAAGGTCGATTTACGCAATACAACACAATAGGAAAATGCGTACCTGCGTACCAGTTAACCAGTTTTATAATTGGCTAAAACCAATGCTAAAACCGAATTTTCGCGACGAATGTAGTTCATCAATAGTTCGTCTTGTGACGTCATGAGTTTGAGAGCTTGTTAGAAGCTACGTCTATGCTTTTGGCGAACCACGTTCAATATGCCGTCATGAATTTTCTCGCGAAAGCGTTTGTGTTCATAAAATCATGGAAGTAGCTCGTCGCGAAAATTCGGTTTCAGTGTATATTGCAGAACAAAATTCATTTTGGGGCTTTTCAAGCGATTGACCACTGACCAGTCGGTAACTTTGACAGATGAACAACGTATTTTACGTCATTCCAGACCAATGGCAGCAAATATCCAGTTAAGTTCCCCAAAATTTTGTAGAGGGCGCGAGTGAACTTAGAGTGCTTTGAATTTTGGCGGTAAATGTCAATAGTTTTAAACTGTTTTAATCTTGTTTTAATAAGTAGAAGAAAAGATAACTACATATGAACAATAAACAGTGAATAGGTTGAAATATCTTCCAAAACGTTCAGTGGCCCCTAAAGAATATTATTTTTCAAAAGTGTCAGCGTCAGCTTTTCTTGAAACCACACATCAAACTTGACTTTTGAGGTTAAAATTACATGCGATTATTCACGCGCCAAAATTTAAAGAGCTCCAAGTACACAAGCGCCCTTTTCAACTCAACTGTCAATATTACATGCCATTAGTCAATAAATGACGTTTAATTCATAGTTTATCTTCAAGTGTAACCGACCGGTCAAACGCTTGAAATCCTTTTTTATTCGATATTGAAAATTGTGAAAGAACGTCAAGTCAAAGTGTCAGAATTTTATGAGAATCTAAAAATTTTGACAAAATCTTGGGAAAAAATACAGTATCGGTAATTAAAACCACGTAATTTTCTACAATGTCAAAATCAACAGGAGGGAAATAGTCATGCAAGGACAATACACACTCGAAGGAGTGCTATTGGCCTCGTTTTTGGTAATCGCCGCCATATTGGTTTGCCACCCATTTCCGACATCATAAGTAAGTCGTCAGCTGTTTCAACAGCCAACGTCATGGCGAGAAATAACATGCAGCCTACGTCACAACTGGTATTTTCGGCAGGAGGGAGGATAGGCCATCCTGTAGTAGTAAATGCTGTGGTAGTAGTGTGTATCATCTTTGATAGTCATATGGGCATGTTTTTAAAATCATCAATGATATATGCGCATTTTCACCGATGTAATGCTGTCCTTGTCATTTGACAACAGCAAAACAAGGATATGCTACTCATCAAGAGAAATGCGCGTAAGCAAATTGATGAAATGATGAATTTAAAAACTTATTGGCCCATATGTTCGAGTTACAATGGCTCTTGAACGAACACTCTATCCCAAATAGTTTTTATGCTATGACGCCTTAAACCTAAATATAAATTTTTTATTATTCCCGGCTCTTGGTTGGATTAAAATACCTATACGCCATTTTCTTTCCAATACACAATCAAAAAGTCATTTTGTAGGCTTTCCATATCTATGAGAAACAAAATAGGTGACATTTTGAGCTAATCAAGAGCCCAGGATAATCAATGGACGAACTCTTTATCTCAAATAGTTTTTCTGATGCTTTACAAACTAAACCCTATCATAATATAAACAAATAATTATTATTCTCGACTTTTGATTGGCAAAAAGAACGCCATTTTCTTTCTAATTCTCAGTGAGGACGGCATTTTGTAGCCTTCCCATGTATAAGAAACAAAATGGCGACATTTGAAGCCAATCAAGAGCCGGGAATAATTGAAATTTTGAAGCATCTTAGCTAATAAATAAAATGATTTACATTTTACCATGCCAGCTTTTCATTGGAGTACCTACCTACAATTCCGTATTTTTTTCCTGAAACCCAATAAGTGAGCATTATGCATTATAGATAAACTTATTAACTCTATTATGTAAACAATTTATTCTTATTCTCGGCTCTTGAATAATGATTGGCACATGGAACGCCATTTTCTTTCTTATACTCAATGAAAATGCCATTTTGATGTAGGCTTATCCAGGATGTATGAGAAAGTAAATGGCGACATTTGAAGTCAATCAGGAGCCGCGAATAATAGAAATTTTGAAGAATCTTAGGCAATAAATAAAATAATGCTTTAGACTGTAACATGAAAGCTTGATTATTCCCTGGCTTTTGTTGATTGATATTGAATCTTCCATAGTCTGATGGATACTATGGGGACTATGCTTTTTATAGGTCCACAAATGTGAGGTCGGATTCCAAATTTCTAGCAGATCTCTTTTTTATAACTTGTTTTAGGCAAAATACATTCTCTTTATTTGATGATCTTCCTGCTCTAGAGCTGCACTGCTCTTCTTCTTCCTTCTCTTTATAATCTTCTACAATGAGATCAGGCAGGATTCTACTGTATAGTCTTCTTAGTCTGCTTGTGACTGATATGCCCCGATAGTTATTGCAGTCTAGCTCATTTCCTTTTTTGTGAATGGATGATATAAAAGACGTTTTCCAGTCTTGTGGAACAGAACGTCCATTCAAGCATTTCTTGGTAATACATGTGAGACCTTTAAAAAGCTTCTCAGTTCCCTATTTCAGCATTTCGGAGTATATCTTTTCTGGGTTGCTAGCTTTACATGACTCAAGATTCTTAACAATCTTTTTTACTGTTTCTTTAGATATCTCAACTGATAGTTCTCCATGTAGGTACTTCAATATATGTCTTGGAGAATTTAACATAATAATATATTCCGGTCTACTTTCTTGTAATAGACCCTTGTAGTATTCTATCCATTGCTCTGGTTTGATTACATGGATAATAGCTCTGTCCCTGTCCTGGGTTTTTGACATTTGATATAGATATAAATCTCTATATACCTTTTGAGCATTTCCTTGATCTTATATAGGTATTAATTTCTTCACATCGCTTGTCCCATGACTCCGTTCTTAGCTCTAGTGATATGCACGTTCTTAGTTGTCTTTTTGTGATTTTTTTGGAGCAACAAGAACTATATAATCAATCTAAAATTGTATCCAAGTCTTTTCGCTTTCATATTATTTCCAGGTAAAAATAAATATTATCCTCAATTAAATGTAAATATCTTTAATTTATATGTCAAAGCCAACACTTGATTCTTATTTAATACGAACGATATCTTTAATGGTAATGTAATGGTAACAATGTGACAAAAACATTAAAAGAAAATTACTCCTATATTATCTATTAAAAAAACAATTATTAATGCTTATTATTATTAATTATTTTCTTAGGCATTTTTGGTTTACAAACACACACTTAATCGTTGTTTAACCATTATTTTTAGTGAAACTTAACGGTATTGTCTACAACATTGAATTAATTATTATTATACCTAATTTCAACAATAATAATTCCCAAAAAGTGACCCTAATAAGATAATAATAATGATTTTTTTTTGTAGGAATTGGTCTTATAGATTGAAAATTAATATTAAATTTAAATACATCTTAATAATTACAATACAAATAAAGCACAAAAAGCATCATATCTAGATTATTATATAAAGTTAATTATTAGAAAACTGGATGCTTTTTCAGCTTGAAAATCAAAAATACATATTTTATGCAGGTATCCAGGTTCTTGATTATATTATACAAAACAGATTATATTTCATTATGAGCACATTTTATGATATGTTAACAAATCATTACTTCTCCGAAAGAAAAAAAAACCATCTCAATTCAAGGCAATTTCATTAATTTGTTCAACAAATTGCAAAATACTTTTTTAAGTGCGCTTATACATTATTGACATTTAGTTTTTAACAATATATTATAATATTTCTAAGCTACGATAACATGTGTTATTTTATTAATAGCAAAAAATTGAAATACTATAATTAACATAAAGCTATTTTGTTTTGTAGCTCTAGTGTAAATAGTTTAAAATTACACTTTTCTGTTTTGTTTGTGCTGTTCCCTGCCCCAGCTACTTAAAAATCCCCTTAAAATTATACTTGCTTGGCATCAAAATCACCACTACTTGGCACTATAGATTATTTAATTTCGAAAAAAAAAATCTTTGGTTCGCTTGCCAAGCAATTATTATTAAACAAAAATTACTCAAAAGTTTGTGATTCCTGTTGCACCAGCTTGAACCTTCTGGGACTTTTCACTGCGATGGAACCGTGTCCGTCCAACGAGCACAATCTGCCCTTTGTTTGGAGGTACTTTTTGATGTATCTTGCCACAAGAATTTGAGGACGTTGCTGGTACTCGTTCATTACTTCTTTTGGTGCTGCAACCTACAAACAATAACTATTAAGTAGATCTTGGATTATGGTAACAATTTACTTGATCTCCTTTGAGTCGATTCAATAAAGTCACACAAACGATTGCAGCTTTGATGCCGGCTTGGTGGGTGAGGGCAGCGAAGGGTACCGCTTCCATTTCGATATTTTTCACTCCTTGTCTGACCAAGTTTTCTAAGTAGTCTTGTTTGTCGGCTTCGGTGTAGTCGCAGAAAGCTCCGTCGATTCTTCCTTGACCTGGAAAAAAATTGAATTTTTTGCTGAATTCCACCAACCAAGACTATACATTTCATTCATAACTTTTTCTCTAATACCTATAGCTACTAGATAGAAATCTTCTGAGTGCCTTTTTTCATAGATTTCGGCTCCAAATCTTGGAATAATTTAGTTTATGGAGTTCAGGGTATCACGAGGGACCATTAGGACACAAAATCTGAACAAATTTTTTTTTGAAATTTCATCGTTTTAGTAAGAAAGGTCATAATAACTTTTTTTCTATTATAGATAGAACGCTGAAATTTCCACTGAATCTCATCCCACTGAAGGAAGGGATCATAATCCCTGAAAATTTTAGCTCATTTGCACTTATAGTTCAAGAAATAAAATCGTGTTAAGCAATTTGGGAGGTTGTTCCATGAAATTCAAATTTTGACATTTCTGGTTTAGATTAATAGCCAAAGAATCAATCAAACCAATCAAGAGCCGGGAAAAATCAAAATTTGAATCTTGATTTCTGAAATTATTAATTTTGAAGCATTGACCAATCAAGGTAAATCAATAAAATGTTGAAACATCAAATAGTAAATAAAATAATTTCAAAAAATCAACAAAACTATCAAGGAAGAAAATGAGGAAACACATAAAAACTCCTGCAGATTTAAATTAATATACAAATAAAAATATATGATCTTGGAAACCATATACAACTGGACCAAAAATGAAACATGAATGAATATCTTCACTTGTAGAATAAACACAGAACCTCTATTTGTGGAAAATATTATCAAAAGAAATTATTAACACAGTAGGTAAATGAAAAACCTCAAGAACATACACAAAAAAGATGGAAGGAAACTCCAAAACAATATAACGTAGAAAGGACAAGATTTCAAATCAGATCACCTCTATCCCGAAGAATATAAATTATGAATTACCTTCATAAAAATCTTCTGCACACATTGTAGTCCCAGTCGTAGTATCATAAGGGTCGTCTTGAGTTGCCAAAGCCTTTAATTCCCTCACCAATTTTTTCTCGAGTTTCGCTGGTCTTTTAACAACTTTTCCTAAGATCGGCTGGAAATATAGGCTTTTAATAATCTAAATATTTTGTTCAAGTATAAATTCTTACCACAGAATAATAATGATTGCCCAATCCATCGACAACGTCATCAGAAATAACAACAGTACCAGGTTCCAAGCCCAAGCCACCACAAGTACCTATTCTAAAAAAAATCGGGTCCTTCGCTTTAGCGTGATACATCAATTTGATCATTTCGTGTAGAAGGATTCCAATAGATGGTACCCCCATTCCGTGCTATAACAATCAATAATTAATACTTATTTAAAATTTAAATTTTATACTTACACTAACAGATATAACAGGTCCAACTTTATACATGCTGTACCTATAAGAGTACTGACTGATGTCCATTAAAGTGGTACCAGTGGGTAGTTTGTAGCCAATTTCTTTCATGATGTAATGGGCAAAGGTTTCCATGCGTTTTGGGGTACCACCCATACAAACAAACTAAAATTTTAAAAAAATATATTTTCATGGCTTAAGATTTGTAAATGGCTTACTTTAACATCCCCAAACATTTCCACCAAATCATGAGACTCACTTCCTAGAGCGATATGATATAGAATATCTTGATCCATGAGTTCAATGTGTGGATTTCGAAGTTTGACTGTTCCATCTGGATATCTGAATTAAAATTAGAAAAAAATTGTTAGATTTGTTTGATGAAATTGCGCTTTGTTAATTTTTTAGATGAAAAATACCTGGTTTCCGATGTTTCATTGTTTCCGTTTTCTTCGCTTTCTTTAGGGCAACTATTACCGTTTCTTACTGACGAGTTCATTGTGCACTGACAGAATTTAATTTCACTAAATATTATAATCCAACAAATAATAAATATGTAATCGCTTACTCAACATGGACATTAATTACTAAAAGTTGATAAGATTAGGAATTAGGAAACTAGAGGATAATAATAATAATTTTATGCAACACTTATTTATGCTTAATAACAGAGAGTGTATTGATTTTTATGAGGAAATTTTACCTATTTTCACTGTTTGTTTGAATCAATTCTAGTAAATCGCCTTGAACCCAATCAGTATAACTACAAAACCTAATTAACACTCAAGGTCGCGTTAGTTTTATCAAGGTATTACACACATGTGCCTATATGACACACATTTGACCGACTGGTCTGCGAAGTAATAAAAGGAAATGAGAATAAGAGGATTCTATTTATGGGCAGGACATAAAGGGCCGGATCGAGCTGACAAGAAGATGAAACTGAGTGAAAAGATTCTTTATTTTTCTCTAAATTTTTCTTGAGATCTACTACCACTAAAGCTTCTCAATATATTATTAGGTACCTACACATTATGTTTGTTCGTGAATCCTTTAGAAGTTTTTTTCTAATCTTCCAAGTATGTGTTTGTTGTTTTATCTTATATTTTTACTAATCCCACTTATCATCTTAAGTGTTTTTGTAATACATACATTTGAAGCATATGTATTATTATTTTACATAATTAGTATCAATAAATAAAATACATTAGGTAGGTAATTGAATAAATTTACGTAAAATAACGAAACAAATCAAATCTGTGACCTTTAAAATCGGGATTCAATTTCCTTTGTCACAGGCCAAAGGAAAAATCAGGCTTTCCAATTGAATAACGAATTATATAAATATTGGATTTTTTGTGCTTTTACCTTTTTCATTATTATTTCATGCTCAATTGGATTTAGAAGGGCCAAGGACGCAAAACAAATCTAATAAATAATATTTGTAGCGGATGTATTTTAGTGGATGAAAAATTAAACATTATTGAACAAAAAGTTATAATGATTTAATGAATAATACTTACTCATCTCTTTCCTCGTCTGACATTCTGGTCAAGGAAAAGTTAAAGAAGTCCGTGGTTACTGTTTTATAAAAGACTCTTTACGAAAAAAATCAAAGAGCAATCTAAAAAGAAAAAACATAAATTCATTTATCCATTTTTGGGACATCTAAAATCTTTGTATAAGTATGGTAATTTTTTTCAATACCTATACATTATAGAATGAAACCCTATAATCGACCAAACAAAAGATACCACAAAAGTATTGGATTTAGATTGAAGAAAAACTATTGAAAAACAGATCCTACCTTTGATGAATTCCTTTAGTGAGAAAATCAAGATATCACACACGTAAAATATTGTATCGAAAACGAAAGGACACACCCGAAAACCCGTCAGCAAAAGAACTGGAAAATTCTTGATGATAGTATATACCTATGAAGGGAAAATCAGTAGGTATAGCAGCTATTTGTTGCAGAGTATAAGGGAGAGGGCGAAATCGACCACCCTTTAAACCAGCTGCGTGAAGGGAACGGTCACGAGACACGAGCTAATGCCACATGAAAATAACAGGATCTATATAGGAAAAAAGAATTCTGAATAATATATTTTGATATCAAATAAAAGATGGAAAAATTGAGAAGGAACGTCTAATTCTGACAGTGTCAGAAATTACTTGTAGCATAATATAATATATGAAGCTTTTTTTGAAAAAATGGTATTAAACTATTGAAACTTGAAATAGCATATACAGGGTAGTCAGAAAATAGAACAATATACAGGGTTTTTTGATAAAAGTAGAAAAAAAATGGTACGTCACTATTTTTCAAAACCTTTGATATTTTTTTCAGATTAAGCAAGTCATATTTACAGTCAAAAGATAGCTTTCGTTATCACAAAAAAACCTGCCAAATTTGAAAAAAAAAAATTAGGAAAGGGATTTTTCCTACAGCCGTGCAGAAAAATCGATTTTCCGCACTGATATGCGTGCGGAAAATGAGTTTTCCCGCACGGTGCGGTAAAACTTTTACCGCACGCATATCAGTGCGGAAAAAGTTTTACCACACGGCTGTCAGTGCGGAAAAAATTTTACCGCACTGACCTGTCAAAAAAAAAGAAAAATTTTACATTTTTACGCCTGTAGGAAAAATATTGTACCTAACTCTTGCGGAAAATATTTCTCCGCACTCGGCTGCTTCACCGAACTCCGCTACGCGTCGTTCGGTGAACGGCAGCCGCGTGCGGAAAAATTGATTTTCCGCACTTGTTAGGTAAATAGCTATTTCAGTTAAAAAAAACGTTTTTTTCTAAAACTTTGACATCGTGTATCTCAGATGGGAACTTTTTTTCTTAAAATATTGTAAGGAATCACATCCTGAAGTTACGGAACCGTACTCATTCATCAATATGTTGTTTAATTATGATAGGTACTAACCTTTATCTTGGTACTAACCTGATTCACTCAAATGTGAGTTATTTTCATTAGTTGAAAAAGTACACTCAGGTGAGTGTCTTATTTGAACAGTTCAACAGTATATTGGTGAGTAGATGGCTGCGGAACTCGCTGCGCTCGTCCCGCAGAGGTCCACCCATAAGTTCCGCAATAATTCACTTATTTGTACAGGGTGTTTTTTTGTTTTTTTATATATTGACCCCCACCTACAGCCTTTACCTTTACAGGTAGAAGAAAGGTGTAAAACCAAAAGTTGTACAGTTTTGGATGAATTTTTAGAAACCATGGTCAGAAACAAAATTTGAATGTCAGAAATGTGAAATTTTGCATGCTTCCGGCTTTTTTCAAATGGGATACCCTATATATTTCATTCTATATATATTGTTGAAGGAGCACAATGCCCCGATTCCAAAAATATATAGTTTGTCTTTATTTGATTGAGCAATCTCTCATATATTCGGCTCCAAAAATTGTAAAAATACTATCCTACTCCTACTACTGATTTTGTAAACCCTTCTACTTATGCAAGTGAAAGCAGCAGGTAAAATTTGAAGTAAAGTTTGTTTCGCCAGGGTTTGTACTTGCCACCAGCATTTGCCTTCCTTGTTTAATAAATAAAAATTGACTGAAACAAATTAATGACGTCAAAAACGTTTGTCAATTCTTAAAAGAAAAGTCATTCATTTTAATTTGTCAAAAAAATTGAATGTGTCATATGAATTAATCTACGACAACCCTTTTTTTTCAAGTTTCAAGTTCAAGTATGAACCCTGGTGAAACGAACTATAGGTACTTGGTTTCTCTGATAGTATTTTTAAAATTTTTAGAACCAAATATGTTGAAAACGGCTCAACCAAATATAGACAAACTATATAATTTTGGAATCAGGAAATTGTGCTCTTTAAGAATATAGAGCCAAATATGTGGCACCCCATTTGAAAAAAGCTGAAAGCATGCAACATTTCATATTTCTGACATTCAATTTTTGTTTCTGACCATGGATTCTAAAAATTTAGCCAATACTGTATAACTTTTGTATTTACACCTTTCATGTACTTGTAAAAGTGAAGGCTGTAGGTGGGGTGTCAATATATAAAAAAACACCCTGTACTCGAACAATAACTTATTATATAAAGTCTGAATTTGTAAGATTATCCACTTTTTGTCAATTTGCCTTTCAACAGGAATTAGTAATGTTACTTTACCAAACTAGTAATATATTGTGACAAGTTATTCAAGTACAAATAAGTGGATTATTGCGGAACTTATGGGTGGACCTCTGCGGGACGAGCGCAGCGAGTTCCGCAGCCATTTATTCATCAATATGTTGTTTAATTACGATACTAACCTGACTTACTCAAATGTGAGTTATTCTTAGTTTAAAAACTACACGTTTCAAGTGAATGTCTTATTTGAATACTTTAACAGTATATTGGTGAGTAGATGGCTGCGGAACTCGCTGCGCTCGTCCCGCAGAGGTCCACCCATAAGTTCCGCAATAATTACTTGAATAATAACTTATTATATAAAGTCAAAATTTGTAAGATTATGATTATCCACTTTTTGTCAGTTGCTTTTCAATAGGAATTAGTAATGTTACTTTACCAAACTAGTAACATAATGTGACAAGTTACTCAAGTACAAATGAGTGAATTGTTGCGGAATTTATGGGTGGACCTCTGCGGGACGAGCGCAGCGAGTTCCGCAGCCATCTATTCATTAATATGTTGTTTAATTATGATACTAACCTGATTCACTGAAATGTGAGTTATTCTCATTAGTTTAAAAAGTACACATTTCAGGTGAGTGTCTTATTTGAACAGTTCAACAGTATATGGGTGAGTAGATGGCTGCGCTCGTCCCGCAGAGGTCCACCCATAAGTTTCGCAATAATCCACTTATTTGTACAGGGTGTTTTATTATATATTGACCCCCACCTATAGCCTTTACCTTTACGGGTACAAAAAAGGTGTAAAAATAAAAGTTATACAGTTTTGGCTGAATTTTTAGAAACCATGGGGAGAAACAAAATTTGAATGTCAGAAATGTGAAAGGACATCGCACACATCTTATGGGTTTTCGGGGACCGGTCGATTTTTTTTAAAAAATTGGTCAGTAAAATAAGAATTTTTCACCATTGCACCAAATCTCTACCTATACAGGACGACCCACTAAAGTTGGTCCAAAAATCATAAAACAAGCTTTTTAATTATCGATGTCGGTGCGCACTGCAGCTACATATCGAGGTTTTTGTTTCGTATTTCGCAAATAAATAGTCTAGACAAGTCTGATATACTATACAGGGTGGCTAAGCTTGCGTATTCTCTTAGAAATTCTGCCCTATTTCTTAGAAGTACCTAGTGTTACTAAAAACTCCAAAAAGGTCGCGCTGGATTTCATTTGCTCGTAACTTTTTTAATTTTTGTCCGATTTAAAAAAATGTTGTCTTAAAATAAAGCCTATATATCACAAGGATGTCATGGAATCTAAGAAATTACAAATGTCATAAAATTCGAGATGGCGGAAAGTAATAAAAGTATAACTTTTTATTCGATCATGGATTCTTACACCCAGTATGAAATTGAAAACAAGACCCAAAAGGGTATTGTTGAAAGTAATTACCTAATCACAATTATTCATCAGCATAATTCCTAAAAATCGGTGTGATTTGAGATACTCATTGTACATATTCAGCGTGTGATATATACCAACATGATTCTTCTTTTTTTTTGACGTTATGATATAAAGGAAGTTCCATTAAAAATAGTGGAGAATTTCGATGCTGGAAAACTTTTTTTTTTTACTGGCTCTGAATAAGTGTCGATCGAAAAACTTTTGGCCAAGATAAGCCAAATAACGCAATCCGCAGATAGATAGCACACCTAGTTTAAAAGTTATAAGCATGTAAAATGGGTCACTCTTAGCTGGGACACCCTGCATAATAATTAATAATTTGGTGCTAGAACTTTGGGCATGTGCTGTGCTCCCACATTTCTAGAGTTGTTTGGTACTTGGGCTACACTCAGCATGAAAACAATGTGAAGTACTCATCAAGTAGGTACGTTCTTTAGGTGTATTCAAGACAATGCAAATAGGCAGTAGGTACTTAGGTAATCACTATTTTTGAAGTGGAAATATTGTAGTATATTTAGGTTGTATTTTACCATTTTCCCACTACAACTTGTAGCACTACTTTTTAAAAAAGTAAATTAAATCCTGTGCGACTTTTTTGGTAACACTATTTTTAGGAATATGGCTGGATTTCTAAAAGAATACGTAAGCTTAGCAACCCTGTATAGTATATTAGGCTTATCCAGGCTATTTGCGTAATCGAAAAAAAAAATTCAATATGTAGCTTGCAGGGTGCGCTTACATCGATTATACAACTCACTGTACATTATTCCCATATGACACGAGAGGCTTAACAAGTGATAAGCCTTTTGGGATTATTGCGCTTGGTGGCATTTGTCATTAATAATAATAAAAATTAATAAAGCATATAAGTTTAGTTCGTTGTATAACCTTTTGAATACCACTCGATCTTTCAGGATTATCTAATACTTTAACCTGACACTCAACGCGTTACCAGCAACACCACTCCTCCTTCGGAGTCGTGGTGTTGCTGCGTAACGCGTTTCGTGACAGGTAAAAGTATTATCCGGTAATCCTGAAACCTCTTGTGGTATTACATTCGATAATTAGAAGGCTTGTTCTGGGACTTGTTTTATGATTTCCAGACCCACTTAAGTGGGTCACCCTGTATACTTAGAGATTTGGTGCAATGATGAAAAATGCTTCTTTTTGCTAGTACTACAACATATCAATTTTTTTAAAAAATCGACCGGTCGCCGAAAACCCATAAGATGTGTGCGATGTCCTTTTGCATGCTTTTTTCAAATGGGATATCCTATATATTTCATTCTATATTCTTGAAGAGCACAATGCCTCGATCTATATTTTATTGAGCAATCTCTCAAATATTCGGTCCCAAAATTGTAAAAATACTATCCTACTACTGATTTTGTGAACCATTCTACCTGTATAGGTGAAAGTTACAGGTAAAATTTGAAATACTCGGTTTCTCTGATAGTATTTTAAAAAATTTTAGAACCAAATATGTTGGAGACGGTTCAACCAAATATAGACAAACTATATAATTTTGGAATCGGGAAATTGTGCTCTTTAAGAATATAAAACCAAATATAAGGCATCCCATTTGAAAAAAGCTGAAAGCATGCAACATTTCACATATCTTACATTCAATTTTTGTTTCTGACCATGGATTCTAAAAATGTAGCCAATACTGTACAACTTTTGTATTTACACATTTCATCTACTTGTGAAGGTGAAGGCTGTAGGTGGGGTGTCAACATATAAAAAAACACCCTGTACTTGAACAATAATAACTTATTATATAAAATCAGAATTTGTAGGATTATCCACTTTTTGTCAATTTGCCTTTCAACAGGAATTAGTAATGTTACTTTACCAAACTAGTAATATATTGTGACAATTTATTCAAGTACAAACGAGTGGATTGTTGCGGAACTTATAGGTGGACCTCTGCGGGACGAGCGCAGCGAGTTCCGCAGCCATCTACTCACCGATATACTGTTGAACTGTTCAAATAAGACACTCACCTGAAACGTGTGCTTTTTAAACTAATGATAATAACTCACATTTGAGTGAATCAGGTTAGTATCATAATTAAACAACATATTGATGAATAGATGGCTGCGGAACTCGCTGCGCTCGTCCCGCAGAGGTCCACCCATAAATTCCGCAACATTTCACTCATTTCTACAGGGTGTTTTTTTATATATTGACCGCCACCTACAGCCTTTACCTTTACAGGTAGAAGAAAAGTGTAAAAACAAAAGTTGTACAGTTTTGGCTGAATTTTTAGAAACCATGGTCAGAAACAAAATTTGAATGTCAGAAATGTGAAATTTTGCATGCTTCCAGCTTTTTTCAAATGGGATATCTTATATATTTCATTCTATATTCTTGAAGAGCACAATGCTTCAATCTATCTTTTATTGAGCAATCTCTCAAATATTCCGTCCTAAAATTGTAAAAAATGCTGTGAAAATACTATCCTACTACTGATTTTGTGAACCATTCTACCTGTATAGGTGCAGGTAAAATTTGAAGTAGGTAAAGTTCGTTTCACCAGGGTTCATACTTGACCTTGAAACTTGACAAAAAAGGGTTGTCGTAGATTAATTCATATGACACATTCAATTTTTTTGACAATTTTTATTTGTTAAACAAAGAAGACAAATGCTGGTGGCAAGTACAAACCCTGGTGAAACAAACTTTACTTGGTTTCTCTGATAGTATTTTTAAAATTTTTAGAATCAAATATGTTGGAGACGGCTCAACCAAATATAGACAAACTATATAGTTTTGGAATCGGGATATTATGCTCTTCAAAAATATAGAACCAAATATAGAGCATCGCATTTGAAAAAAGCTGAAAGCATGCAACATTTCACATTTCTGACATTCAATTTTTGTTTCTGACCATGGATTCTAAAAATTTAGCCAATACTACTGTACAACTTTTGTATTTACAAAATTACAAATGACGTTTTTTGAAATAGGAGTGATCAAACTGAAATACAATAAATGACTTTTTCTGAAATATACAACTGATCAAACTGAAACACAAATGACGTTTTCTGAACTACAACCAAACTAACAAAGTTGAAATACAAATAACACTTTTTGAAATTAAATTTACACAATTGGAATACAATTGACGTATTCTGAACTAGAATTGATGAATCTGAAATACAAGTGAAACATTCTGGAATGCTTATGGAAAAGGTGTAGAATAAAATTTCCTGAATATTTAGAAAAATCTAAATCTGCTGAAAAAGATCATCACAACAGTTTTGGTCAAGCCTCTTTAACACAAAAAGCCTTGGATCTACGAGAATAATACAAAAGCGCATCCTGCTTCGAGTCCTGTTATCCTGTCGGAAAATCCCGCTCCCGCCATTCTTGAGGACAGCAACAGGACAATCGGAAAAACGGATCGATTTCGGATTTTTCTCTCAGACAAATTTGCAATCAGGATGATAAATAGCGTTGCACCAGAGACTACCAATGACCTCAATGTCCGTAAAATTGACCTTTTAACGCGTTTAAAATTTATCCACTTGATAACATACTGAATTATTTTGTAGGAAAACATTCTTACTTACTGAAAAATCTCAATTACCCCAATTTTCTTAGTACGCGTACTTCCTGATAAATGCAAGGCCGCACCACCACCCAAAAAGGTCGTACCTCCGTTTTAAAAGAAAAAACTAATCGACCATATCATTACATGGCGAAAAAGTCAACTATATATAAATCACCCAACATCTAAGAAAACAGTCATTCAAACGATTCATTCTAAACTCAAACAAAATGTCTAAAATAAGTGTTTTTTATTTTTGCTTGGTAGTGCTTATTGGAATTACACAAGAGGTACTTATTTGTTATTTAAAACACAATGAAATTAAGTTTTTTTTTGTATAAAGGTTTTGTGCGACAACGAACCTCTTCATACCAAACCTTTATACCAATACCGGTACCAAACTGAAGATATGATGAAAACTTCAGCCTCATCGAGACCAGTCAGAGGCTACCATGTAGTTGAAGGAGGCTATTATCCAGAAGAATCTGGCTCAATAGGATCTGGCCAATACTACCGTAATTTCCATAAGTTCTTGTATTGTGAACTTCATCAATTGAATTAAAAATTTTCAGGTCCAATTGGTCATAATTTAGGATATGGAGGAGCAGGAATTGGATTAGGATCTGGTGGAGCAGGAATTGGGTTCGGTGCTGGTTTAGGAGGATATGGAATAGGTCCAGGAGGATTTGGTGGAGCTGGTTTTGGACTAGAACAACCAATTGGTTATCAACCTCAATTCATTGGTGGAGGTGGAATTGGAGCTGCTGGATTGGGTGGCTATATTTCACCAGCAGTCCATCATAATCATCATGGATATGGTAATAATAAATTATTATAATAAATGTTTTGATTAAAATAATACAATTATTATAGGCGGTGAAGAAGTTGATAAAAGCGAATTCAACAGTGGCAAAAAGAATGTCGAAGATGTTAAATTTGAAAAAGCTCACGGTAAAAAAGGTGAAGAAGTAAATCACGGACAGCAAGGGTATTCCCATGGAGGCCAAACAGTGCAAGATGCTAAAGGGGAAAATGGTTATTACAGCAATGCAGCCGGAGGCAAAAAAATCATTGAAGATGGCAAACAGTACAACGGTGGTGAAAATTTCAATCAAGAAGGTACCAACACCACTATTTCAATTTCATTTTTACACAAAATACAATTTTTTAGGTAAAAATGAAGCTGAAAACAAATTGAAAAAGGGCCACAAAAAAGGACACGTAATCAAAGGATTCAAATCTTCGCACCACAAAGACGAAACCGGCAAAACCGAAGAATACTATGACGAAGAACACGACGAAGGTGACAATGTCGCATTCAACGGCCAATCTGGAGCTTTCGGACAAAAAGGACAATCGTCCTACAAAGGAGGACACGAAGATGGTAAATTCAATGAGCAAGAACACAAAAAATCGGGACACGTCAGCAACCAATACGCTGTCAGCAAAGAAACCGGAGACAAAGGCAATTATGGTGAAAATAAATATGCTGGTGGCGGATCAGTGTTTGGAGTTAATAACGGTATCGATCAGCAAAGTTTGTTGGGACATCAAGAGAATTCTAGGTAAGAATAATTGATTTTTGTTTGACAGGTTATTTGGAAACTATTTTTCAGATTCTTCAAGCACCATCCTGTACCCTTTTACCATCATTGATTCTGTTTAGCCATTTATTTATTTTATATGTATTTAGTGATTCACCTAATTTATTTTAATGTTTGCAATAAACGACTTTAAAACATAATTTTTTAAGACATTTATTTATTTATACTTAAATAATTCCACAATATAGGGTTTCCCTTCATTAACTGACATAGTTTATGAAGGGATGTAATAGTATACATAAATACAATCTAAATTACACATTTACAGTTAATATAAAGTAAATAGATGAGCAAATAAAGGAGATCGTATATTATATTTTCACATATTTTTAGGTGGAAAACTATTTATTATGTCTTTTACATGCATGGAATTTTTGTCTAAATGCTATATTTTTTTTACATATAGGTACCACTAACATCTATTTTTTTATTCACAGCAAAAAGTTTACATTTATATAGCAGAATGGGATAAAAAAAACAAAAATACACTTTTCATTTTAATAGGTCTGTTTATGCAGAAATCACAAACCAGTCAGAGTGAATTTCATTGGTTGAAACTAGTTTTTTGACCGTTTTCAACCAATGACTGGTTTGTGATTTCTGCAGAAACAGGCGTCTAATAGCTGCCAAATTAATTTAAATATAATTTGTTCTGTAAGGGGGTTTGTTTCAAGTTATTGCACTAAAATGTCAAGTAAAGTCTATAGTAACTATAAAAAGTATAATTAAATAAATATAAAATAATGTTCAGTTCAAATAAAATTACACTAAAAAACTGTATACAATCCTTTGGTAAAATGGCATCGATCATGGAAATGTCCACTGATCAAATTTAAAAAAATATATATAGAAAATCAAGCAAACGCCTATTATTATGAATTTTATTTGCTTGATTTATGTGACTAGAAAAAATTAATATGTGAAGGTTTTGTGACTAGGAAAAATAGCTATAGCTTTTAGTTGATCTACAGGATCTGTTTGGTTACGATACCGTTTCGTCAATAGCACTCCCGCTATCTATAAAGAAAAATCAAATAAATAATTTAAATAGCAAACATTATTAGCAACAAAGCCTAAATAAATTATTGCAAAAAGCCACAAAAACAATCTAACATAAAACCCACCATCTTGTACAGAACCACGAATATTATGGCACTATAGGAAAGCGCTTGGGTTAGCCCTGGGATCCTTTTGGTTACGGTAACGTACAGTTAACAATACGCCCATAAACTGTATGCACGAAAAACCCAATTCAATTAGTTTATTAGTAAATCCAATCAATATACATTCAAACACAAAAATCCTTACCTCTGTAAAACTAAAAAACAATCCAATCCAACCGCAAAGCTTAAATGCATAGTTTATCGTACTTTGCAATTTGTCCAGGCAACCAGGGCATACACAATTCAATCCGGCACTATCAGTGCAACATCTCATCTAACAAAAAACAATTTAAATAATTTTGCAATGGAAATGTTGAAATTTACCATGACATGTTCGCAAGTGGGATGAAAAACGTTTAAGTCCACATCTGTGTCAAATCCGCAGCAAGTAAAGGTGTTTTGGACGTTGGATTTGGTGGAATTATCCACTCGGTTCCATCCTTGTTCGGCTAATTGTTCTTGTTGAGATTCGTTTACTCCTAGACAGGCGCACGCGACGGAAAATTGGATGAGGAATAGTAAAAATAATATTAACATGTACTATGGAAGAATGGTTAAGGAAAAGTAAATTGGGTAAAATTTATTAAAATATACCTATTCATGGAACTTAAATGACAAAGTGAAAAACGAGTTTTTGAATTGTTGCGAAACCGTGGTTGAAGACTATGACGTCAAAGTCCCTACAATCAATGAAAATGCTATCGATTGGCATGACAACGCGCCGATCGCAATTATATCATATAAGTTAGAGGCAGATAGATAAATAAACGAGTTGCACCCCTGCGCATTTCTTTATTATTTTGGTCAAGTGAATGACGGGTTCAGAGAAGGCGGATCATGTTTACACCTCTGCTGCATCCCCATTTCTTCTAGCCCATGGGGGGTCATGTTACCACAAAAAACATCAGTTTATTATGGATGAGATGCGATACGGAGTCTATCTGTGTTAGAATGCCATTGGGTTTACGTCACAATTCGCCGTCACGCTCGAATTGTTAACGCTCTGCTCGAGTCGAATTTAGCCAGACGAAAAAGAGAAACACTCAGCCGTGTGACAGAGAGATAGCACGATTGGCGATTGGTATTCAATCGAGACTCCTTCTGGGACTCTTCCTAAAACAAATTTCTGCGACGTTGCCGATATCATTGGCAAAGTGGTAATTGCTTTTAATAGATTGTTTGGCAAAGGATTGCTCATCCTCATTTTGCCAAATCTCGAGCCGGCAGGGTCTGCGTGTGACGTCACCACTATCAGCGGGTTATAGTGATGACGTCACCCGCAGGCCTCAATGGGATGCTGCGATTCAAGCTGTCAGGCTGTGCTTGTGAGTTAGTTTTTCCGTTGATTTTAAATATAGATAACGTGATTTTAACTAAGGTTCCTAAAATTCATAGGATGTCTGGTAATGGGTAACTTGATGACGCATCTGAGGAACCTTATGGAGATTTGCCTAGAGCAGGTAAAGGCAAAGAGGAGTTAGAATAAAGCCGTTTTTTTCCAGGTATTTTGGCACCAAAATAATGGCGGTATAGGCCATTCAATGCTCTACCTGTATTTTGGTGCCAAACACCTGTCAAAAACTTGGCTTCACTGTTTCATAAGCAGAATGGCGCCTTCCTACTCCTTATGTCCGTAGGACAGCGCTTTATCTGCTCTAAGGAGATTTGCATTATGTTGAGGTACCCCAGATGACGTCATAAAGTTATGCAACCTACCTCTCTCAAACAACCTCGGATTTTAACAAGATTATAATAGGGATTCGTTCAATGAGTTCAGTAATAAAGTTAAAGTATTAGTTCGCTCTTTGTCGAATTACACGTTGTGAAGAAAGAAGAAACGATTACTTTTGTACTCGCCTCTAAATCCAAATATGACGCAAGCACGTGATAAACTCGCTTCTTATTGAACGCTCACCTGCAACCCACTAGTTGCGTGCGCAGTCGAGATGAAAAAAATACCTCAATTGCAAGGATATTACAAACTATACAGGATAGGTTATCATCAAAAGGCCTGTGTTTAGCCTAATACTCATAACCGCGAATTTCGCATTTTTTTGACATTGCTTCGACAATTTGACGTTTTATGCGTGAATCAAACGTCAAATTGTCGAAGCAATGTCAAAAAAATGCGAAATTCGCGATTATGAGTACTAAGCTTAATTCAAAGCTGTTTTCTCGCGTTCAATTTTTCGAAACTGGTTCAAAACAGTATATTCTCGCGATGAATCAGTGACGTCATATCGAAATTGTTTTAAACCGTTTCAAAATACAATCCAATCCACATAAACAATTTTCTCGCGCCGAGAAGTTATGACGTCATGTGCCACTGTTTTAAAACGGTTTATGTTTCAAAATATTTGAGATACGGGAAAACACCTCAAATCTCAAGCCCCCCATCATGCCAAAGTGATGATGTAAATATCGCGTCGTTCTTCAGCTTGAGGTAAGGTGTTTGCACCAGGCTATGATTCCACTGGCTGTTGCTTTATGAATACTTGGTTTTAGTACATTAATTAACATTCTAGAACAACCCTTTTTCAGATCTCATTTGCATCTTCCTATCTGCCTATTAAATAATAATTATCAAAATTAAATAATATTTCTCATTTTACTATATCCTAAATTACAACTGCTGACGCAAACAGTTAATGATACCGTTGATGACGTCGACAACGGTGCAACACCATATGACCTTGAATTCAAAAATCGAGGCCAATCAGCAATCCTGTAGTAATGTCTAATCACTGTTCAATATTCTTGCCTCAATAGGGAATTCTCATAGGAAATAAATATGGCTTATTTTGTTTTTATGGTGCACATTTTTCTGTAAAATATTGAATATAACCCATTAACGCCCAAATTTTTTTTTCCCAAAAAAGAAGCTAATGAGAGTGAATTTTTGAGTGCTATGTACAGGATTTAGTAAGATTCCATGAAAAATTTCAAAATTTTTTATTTTTTCTCAAGAAAAATGGTGTTACCATATGGTAACGCTAGGCGGCTATGAGCAGCAAAAATACAAAAAAAAACAAATATGTTTCTACAAAGTAATAATTATTTTGTGTGGAAAATAACAAAACATTCGATGCATAGGCCGACATCACATTTCTGGCACATGGTCCTAATATGTGAACTGCATCCCTCACCTGCACAACGTCTACGCTTTTTGTTGGGTACTGATATAACCAAATGATTTTTGGAGTCGTAGCGTAAATCGTCAGAGACTCGGTTCAATGATACTGAGCTCAGTGAGGTAGGCGGTCTTCCTGCGCCTTTAGGAGGGATTCTGTGAGATTTTAAATAGCTTTGTGTGATTGAACGTCTAAAATCAAGTTGCGCTAAATTACCTCCAGATTTTCTGTGCAGCTGCCATGCATTGTGGATACACAAATCAACGATCCAAGTGAATAGGCACCACCACCATTTTTTGCCTCGTACTGCAATGCGATACTGTGCAATATTTTCGTCCATTTGGTCAGTCCCGCCCATATGCCTATTATATTGGGTTATAAGATCTGGTCGTGGAACTTGGATGTTTTTTTTTTCAGCCTGGGAATATCGACGGACATCACCTACAGGACCCACACCAAAACAAGATGAAGCCATGGTTACTGTTTTGTTGTCTACCCAACGAACAATAACTATTCCATCATTTTTATCTATAATAGATTCGTGAGTTCCTCTCTTTTTTTTGTCCATAGTTTTCTTGCTTGAGAGAGGACATGACTTTGGAATTCTATTTTCTCTAACTGTTCCTGTACCTTGAAAACCCTGGTCTCTCAGATATTTCAATAAAGTTATGCCGGTAAACAAATTGTCAAAATATAGTTTATACGGTCGAAAACCTTTTGCTTCGGTAAGTTCGTCTAACATTGTGAGTAACGGGGCAGCTGCCTTTCCAAATAATTTTTCATATTCCTCGGAGCGACGGGGATTATTTCCTTGATACATTTCAAAGTTAACAATATAACCAGAAGGACTGTTGAGGCACCAAATTTTATATCCGAATCGTATGGGCTTTCCTCGAATAAATTGCTTGCATCCGTGCCTACCAAAGTACTTCACCATGCTTTCATCATAGCAAAGATGTTCTTCAGGCTCGAACAATTCTAAGCATTTGTTTTTAACTCTATCCATCAATGGACGTAACTTCCAAATTTTGTCCAATGGATTTGGCCTATTGTTATCTGCAAAATGCAAAAAGCGTGAAATTTCCAAAAACCGATTTCGTCTCATTGAGTTATAGACCAAGTCATTTCTCATGTCACATTCTGTGTCCCAATAAAATCTTTTTCCTGGCAATTCATTATAGCCAGTAAGTATGAGAATTGCTAAGAAACATTTCAACTCATCAATTGAAACTTTTGGGTCCGAACAATTTTTGAATAACGCATAACACTTGGTTTGTTCCAGTAAAAGGTTCATGATACCATCATCAAAAAACTTCTCGAATAACTCTAACGGAGAAAGGTTTTCATATTTGGAATAATTGCCACAGACAAACACAGAATGTCCTGGTTGTAAATCACCCTTTATCCATTTTATATTTTTTACATCAGGTCTTTCAAAGTCATCAGCAGTGCCACCAAGTCGTTCATCATTTACCAGTTTTATTTCTGCTTGAGCACGCAATTGTGAAGCCGGTAAATTGTCTATAAGTCCACCGCCATCCTCTTCTCCAGAATCTTCATCTGTTAAAACACCGGTATCAGGTGGTTCCATAAATATCTCTTCAATATCTTCCGCATATGCAATATCCAATGCCTCTTGCAATGTAAAGCCACGTCTAAAACAAAAAAATATATATTTTTAAAACTCCATAGTGTAAACGCCTAGCGTAACCATATGGTTACACGTGTCAAAAGACACCTATAGCTCAGGTGTCATAACTAAAACCTCACCGTATTTTTAGTATATACCAAGGATAGGATGTTATTTTGTCATAATAGGAATATACATGCAAAAAAAAAACAAACAAAGAAGATGTACTTACTCAAAAGTTGGTTCCATCCTATTTTTGACAAAAAAATAAATCTCCAAACTACACAACACCTACTCGCACCGATAGAATAACAAAACCTCAAGTTACGAACTAAAAACAGGTGTTCAACTGTTTGAAAATGAGCCTGTGTAGCCATCTTTGAATAAAGACTAACACTTATCGCGGGAGCCATCCCGAAATAGATTCCTGTAAGCGTAACCACTTGGTTACGCTAGGCGCTAATGGGATAAACAGTTTTGTATTTAATTTATGGATATTATAGTCATACGGCAATTATTAATTTTAAATTGCAAAGTTTCGCGCGGAAAAGTTACGATTAACATCGCCGCTTCCAGTGACGTCAACTGTTCGTAAACTAAGGTTAAGGGTAGTTTACATTGATCGTAAATCCACTGTCCACACTTCCGTGGTTCACTCTTGAGTCGTGGAACGATTGGTCTACGATCACGACTGATATTGAACCACCATAAACGAGTCTATAGAGGGAAGATTGTCAGACTGCGCTTTTGTAAATCCTGTATCAACTATGATGAACTATTTGAAACACAAAATGTCACAATATGGCACTAAATACGGAAATACCACATAATAACCGCTTTCAAGTTTTAATGCAGTCGAAAGTTCAAGCTATGCGATTCTTTCCGACAGTTTGCAAAGTGTCAAAGGCTTTTGTGAGAACAGACCTTAACGTTGTGTTTACAGACAGTTGACGTCACAAATTCCACCATCTTGGAGCTAATCGTTTTCACGCCAACGAAATAATTTGAAATTTAAAATAATTTTTTTATTTTAATGAGGACATAAAACAAAAAAAAAAACATAAACATTTTATATTTGAAAACATAAGCAATAAGAAAAAAAATACTTTGAAAAATAATATGATTGTTCCCTATTGCTTGTGAAAGGTTGTCTGATAATGGCAATTAGATGACGTCATCAGTTGGCATTGGCAGCAACCAAGGTTATTTGGGGCGAGGTTATTAACTTTAGAAACCTTGATCAGCAACCTTCCTCTTTCAAACAACCTTGATCCAAACCACAAATGCCAGGATTCAATATGGAGGCAATGGTTAAGCATTTGTCATATTTTTTTAAGCATTTTGATTTTTGCAGTTTTCACTTCTGTTGTGTGGTATAGCAAACACTGTAGAGAATTCGAAAAAGAAAAAAATAGAATACAAAATATATAAGTTCCGTGATACGATAATATAGTACATCACAATCTATTTGTCTCCTTTACTACTCTATGAAAAAATAAAGAATGAATATACCTAATCGGCGAATTCTTGTTAAATGAGCTTTAAATGTTTGTCTGTGTGGTTGCCAAATCTTTCTCAAAATTTGAATCTCTAAAAGCCATTCAAAGTTTTTTTTTTTTTAGTTATAATTTCTAGAAGCATTCTACGCAAAAAAACTAGAAAAATGCTACAGGACAGTGGCAGAAACTTAAAATTTAAATAATACCTAAATATAGTCAGGGGCCTATTTATACTATACAGGGTGTATATTTTAAGTGATACCACTATTGCTATATCTGAAACAGAAAGAGATACAAGGGCGGTTAAATTAGAAAAAAGTTGTCTTTTTTTATGCCCATTTACGACTCGTTAACAGTGTTGCCAAATTCCTTTTAGTTTATGAAATACAGGGTGATTCCTAAGAAACGCCCAAAAATTTTTCATCAATTATTTCGGAAACTATTGATTTTCGAGACACAATTTAAATTTGAAAGTTTTATAATTTTTTTCGCTCTACAACATTGCATTTTCAAATTTAAAATCTGACGTTTCATGATCAAGCTACCATCATCAACTTAATTTTTTTAAATACGGAGCTGCATTTTTTATGTCATTTTCAAAAAGCGCCCCTCTTTCCCTTTCTAAAAATGACATAAAAAATCCAGGTCCGTATTTAAAAAAAATGAAGTTGATGATGGTTGCTCGATCACGAAATGCCATGTTGTAGAGCAAAAAAAATTATAAAACTTTCCAATTGAAATTGTGTCTTGAATATCAATAGTTTTCGAAATAATTGATGAAATAATTTCAGACGCTTTTTAGAAATCACCCTGTATTTCGTAAACTAAAAGGAATTTGGCAACACTGTAAACAAGTCTTGAATGGGCATCAAAAACAGCAACTTTTTTCTAATTTAACCGACCTTGTAGTTTTTACCGTTCCGGATATAGCAATAGTGGTATCACTTAAAATATACATCGTGTATAGGTATGTTTCTGCAGAAATCACAAACCAGTCAGAGCAAATTTAACTGGTTGAAAACAGTCAGACACCTAGTTTCAACCAATGAAATTCACTCTAACTGGTTTGTGATTTCTGCAGAAACAGACCTACTGTATGAAATATATTTATTAACGATCTAATTACTGCTTTGCCCTGTTCAAAGCTCGCATATGCTGACGACTTGAAGCTTTTTACCTCTGTCAATGGTGAGGAGGACTGTATAAATTTGCAAGTTTGTCTAAATGACTTATACACTTGGTGTAACAAAAATATGCTATACTTAAATATTGAAAAATGCAATATTGTCAGTTACTGTAGAGTTAAGGAGCCAATTTTGTATCAATATGTTATTGAAGGAAAATCATTAAGTAGGGTTAACGAAATTAGAGATTTGGGTATAGTTTTTGACAGCCGCTTTACTTTTGTACCTCACATTGAATATGTAAGCTCGGCTGCCGTTAAAACGCTTGGGTTTATCATTAGAAATAGTAAGTACTTCTCAAATGAATTTACTTTTAAACTCTTGTATTTCACTTTTGTTAGGTCCAAGCTTGAATATGGTGCAGTGATCTGGAACCCTATTTACGAGTGCCACGTTAACACAATTGAAAATGTTCAAAGAAAATTTTTAAAGTATGTAACATTCAGATTAGATGGGTCATATCCTCCCAGAGGCATTGAACATTGCCAGTATTTACGGTTCAATATAGAATCGCTTTCAGTTAGAAGAAAAGTACTGGGTGTTAAATTCTTGTATAACCTCCTACACAATGTAATCGACTGTCCCTCGCTATTGGTTGGGATTCAGTTTCGGGTTCCACGTCTGGCGGGGAGGTATGACTCAACGTTTCACTTGGGTAGGGCTAGGTCAAACATCTTAATGCAATGTCCACTATATTTTGTGTGCTCTGTATTCAATGGTATTTCAGGTGTGTGCGATATTAATGAGGACCGATTGTCAAGAATCATCGTTGCTTTACTGAACAGTTAATTTTTCTTTCTATTTTTGTTATTATTATTATTGATTGTTCTTTTTATTATTATTATTAAGACGTCATGATTGTAATATGTACAGAAAACTAATTTTTCCTGTAATTGGGACTTGTTCCTGTTGGAAATAAAGGCTTATTTATTTATAAAAGTATGTTGTAAATGTGTAAGGATGTCTTTAATAAAGACATCCAACAAACAATTTTCTGTTAATTACTTCCTTTCAACCTACACTTTATCAAAGGATACGAAAAAGAGCATGACCTGATGATGCTTGACTGCGCCCATGAGCCCCAGCACCGAAATCAGTATCAGTATAACGCCGCATGCCAAAATGCCCCCCACAATGGGCAAATTAGTGACCAAAGATGCTGCCCTTCCATAAACTGCTACCCCTATCAATATAAAGGCGACCACCTGAATAAAAAACAACAAGGAATTTTATGTATTATTGGGGCACTGTTTTACTTACAATATAGAGCACATTTAGGGCTATTAGGGCGTTTTTGGAGCACGTAAAACCTCCACACATAATTTTTGATAATGATAATTTCAGTCAAAGAGGAAATTTAATAAATTGTCAAGAGCAAAAAGGTAAACAATCAGCTGTCAAATCCTCTACTAGAGCAGAAGAGGACTTATCGATTCGATATATACATCGATTTTGTCATATCGATAAGTAACTTGAAAAAGAAAACCATTATTTTCCTTCATATTTATTCTAATCCCAGGCTCTTGAATTTTCTTTATTTCAACAAATTCCAGAGCCTAGAATAGAAAAAAAATTGCAACAAAAACAAGAGCAATGAATGAGTCTGTGAAAGTTTCCGACCAATCAAAATGAACAAAATTCAAATTTTCAAAAACCAGCCGGAAGTTCAGACATTTTTAAATAATTTTATCCAGACGCCCGTTTTTTTTCCATCTGGCTACCAACGGCTAAACAATTGAATCAGTAAATAGTCAACAACAATTGGCGAATACATATTTTTTTTAAACGCGTAGAACTCGCCGAAAAAAAAAAGAAAAAAACCACAAAAAAAATTAAAAACCGTTTAGAATTATTGTAAGTGATAAAGATTTATTTTTATGTAAGCGTAAATTAAACAAAGATGAATAATAATATTCCCCTGTTTCCCATGGGGTCCCTTTATGTGGGAGACTTGCACCCCGATGTTACTGAAGGCATGATTTATGAAAAATTTTCTGGAGCCGGACAGGTAAATATGAATAGCTTTGTTCTTACACATTAAGAAACCGTCACGATTCTGCGCAAAATCAAAAATGTGTGCGTAAAATCCTAAATTCGTATACAGAGTGGTTTCCAAACCGTTCATGGGACGGTTTTTGACGTACGTGTTGGAACAAACCCTATAGCTTTGTTTCACTTTCAACCCAGCAGGGAATTCTGAGGTAGAATCCAAAATTCGTATGGGTACAGGTCTGTTCACATAGAAATCACAAAACAGTCAGAGTGAATTTCATTGGTTGAAACTAGTTTTCTGACTCTGCGTGCAAACAGACCTAGAGTGGTTCCGAAACCGTTCTTGGGACGGTTTTTTGGCGGGTTGGAACAGACCTTTTGTGATATTTTTCACTATTAAATTGCTACAAAACACTCTTCCACTAACTTTTTGGTTCAATTAGGGATTGGGGCCGATACTTTTGATTTCTTACAGAAATAACAAACCAGTCAGAGCGTTTTTGATTGGTGCAAATCGCCAACAACTAGTTTTCTAACTGTTTTCAACCAATAATAGGTCTGTTTCTGCAGAAATCACAAACCGGTCAGAGCGAATTTCATTGGTTGCAAACAGTCAGAAAACTAGTTTCAACCAATGAAATTTATTCTGACTGGTTTGTGATTTCGGCAGAAACGGACCTAATGAAATTCGCTCAGGGTGCTTATTTTTAAAACAGGGGAACTGCGTTCGAGAACAAATTTTCTATCTTTGTTACACATTATCAGTTGCATATCATTGAGAAAGACGGAACACTCGTTCTCCTGAGAACGCTGCTCCCCTGTTTCAAGAATGAGGACCCTGGGCTGGACCTCTGTAACAAATAGAGATACTTTCTCTATCTCTATTGACGTTCCCTCTCTATTGATTTCGAACTTCCTGAGACGAGAATCGGCTCTGGGTTCTTATCCTTGAAACAGGGGAGCAGCGTTCCCAGGAGAACGAGTGTTCCGTCTTTCTCAATGATATTGTGCGAGATCCCAAAATTCAGAAACTTGGCAAGATGTTAAATTGGCGAGCGGTGACTTTAGTTTCTGATTGGAGACACAGTTTAAAGTGGGTCCAATTTGCGGGTAGAGAGTAAAACACAGAAATATTGTGCTACTTCTCTCGGTTAATTCGACAACTCTTTCACGCCGTAGTTCTGACTTTCTGGACACAGGATCGGGATCACGAGGTTCGATTCGATTATATCGAGTCGAGTGGATTGTTCACGAAACTCGATCAAGTTGGAAATCGAGTTTATTCGATTGTTGCTAAAGTTACGCACTTTGAATTGAAAGCGATCTCGCTTTTTTGATTATTTTAATCTTTGTTTTGTGTTTTGTAAAGTTTCAATTTTAATTATTTCAAAGTTCAACAATAAACTTGGGCTCAAAATTATACCTTTCACTAGACACCAATGCATCTCTGATAAGAGCCTGTGGCATGAAATCTTAAAGTACATAAAGTATTTGTAATACCCATTTAGAATAACCTCATCCTTATTCATCAATCACGAATCAGATGAAACAAAAAATTACTAACAAAAACGAACGTCGATTGCTAATACGTCAATTTCATCTACAAATAGAAAATTCCTAACCTAATTTTATTTGTGTGTCGAGAAGCGACATACGTTTTGTCACTAAAACGACAGGTACTTCTAAATAGGTATTAAAAATACTATAGCACCATGTTTTCTAGAGTACCTACCCTAGCAAGAAATCTCTCTGGTACATATGGTCGTATCAATTGTATGAGTTCTGCAGTTGTCGTTTATTAAGACGAAATAATCTACAAATCTTGCCTCTGGAAAAGGTTTCTTGCTTGTACCTTGAAATTTGTCTTCGTCGAACAAGCTCAAGTTTCTGGCGACGACGCCTATTTCTTTGTCTTTGCCAAATAGCCTGGATAACGTAACATTTTTATTTTTATGACATTTTCACGATATATTGACAAAATAGATAAAATTTAACCTAATTCGAGACCTCCGAACCTATCGAGGCATTTCGATCGAAATAATTCGATCAGTCGAATGTCATGAACAACTCCTTTCGATTTTCGATCAAAGGTGACAAACTTTAAACGGATATCGAGTTTCGTGATCCCACAGCAAGTCTCTCGATTCTCGATTACTACTTGTTTCTTGATTACTCAACCGACACTTGTCTTTGACGCCGTAGTTCTGCCGGTTTACTCGTTCTTTCTCGAACACTGGTTTTCTCGAACACTGATTTTCTCCTGCCAAAGTTGTTTTTTTTTATATCATTGCCTCTCCATTGTCTTGAATCTCTTTATTCTTTCTGACCTCGATTTTTTGTGTTGAATCATCCGATCAATAAGTGTATTTGGTCCCCTTTTAATTAATTATCAAGGGCGTCGCTAAGTGGTTTGTTAAGTGGGTATCATCATATAGGCTCGTGCATGATTTATTGATCCTTTTAGAAATTTTTCGGCCAAAAAAGGTCCATGAACTTTTGCTTTAGTCACACTCCAATGTATTAGACAATATCGGTTTTCAATAATTTCTGGATATCGATGTTCAGATAAATTTTAATTGAAGTTTCTCGTTGTGCTGTCTAAGTGATGATCTCTCCTGGTATGGTTGTTTGATAAGTCCTTGTTATTCTTGATTAATTTTCGGTAGTTGGGTCCTAGGTTTTCAGTTATTTAGAACTAGCTAATGACCCGCTGCGTTGCCAGCGTGAAAATACATTTTGAAATAATACACTTCTTTTCAAATTTTGTTGTTGATTTTCTATTTAATTTTTTTTTTTTTAATCCGATATCAGAGTCGCTTGCCAGTGAGTTCAGTGACGCATTTTAAGCACTCCAGAGCTGCTCTAGAGCGCCCCGGGCTGTTTATAGGCGTGCCAGTGTATCAGAGTTATACGCAACCGAACTTTTTTTTTCGGAATAAAAAATAGCCTATATCACTCTCCTCTATAGCCGATTCGATTGACCGGATTAGATCGATCTGGTTCAATTTAAGTGAACCACACTGTGTTCGATTCAAGCTGGATCAGTGCACGCTCATCAACAAAAAAATGATCTAGATCAGAAGAAGTTCACTTAAATTGAACCCAAATCGATCTAATCTGGGTCAAAAATAAAGTTACGTCGGTTGAATGCAAGCCTAAATAAATGAAACATGGCGACGTTGTTTCATGCTGTCAAAAAAAGTTGGGTTATGTTGTTATGTAATGTGAATGAGTTTGTTTACAATTAAATTAATAATTAATTCAAAATTAATTTATTTTTCCGAGATGCGTGACCTATCCACAAACCTTCCTTGGGATGGCCATAACAACCTACCAAAGTTTCATCGTAATCGGATAAGTGGTTTTGGAGCGCATATCCGGATACCCCGTGAACTTTGATTTTTATATACAGGGTTAGTAAAAAGTACTGCAACACTTAAATATCTTCGAAACTGCTTAAGCCGCGTTCACACAATTCGGAATCTGGCAGTTTTCAGGCATGCGGAATTTAACAGTGCTATTGGCAATGTTGCCAGATTTTCCATTTTTGCGTTACACGTAGTCTTTTTGTTATCTTAAATCTTAAATGCCCCATTTATTTTTATTGCAATGAATTGGGCGTGCCAAATTTGATAAGATTCCAAACTTTCAGAATTCTATCTTTACTAGTTGCTGAAATATGACAACACCGTATTTTCGGTGAAAAGTATAGCAACGCTTGAATATCTTCAAACGCCGCTTAAGCTCATTCACCAAATCTGGTATCTGGGGGTTTTTGGGCAAGCGAAATTCAACCGGGATATCGGCATTGTTGCCAGACTTTCCAGTTTTGCGCTAAACGTACTCTTTCTGTTATCTTGAATAGAATGTTCCATTTATTTTTATTGCAATAAATTGGACGTGCCAAATTTAATAAGATTCCAAATTTTCAGTATTCTGTCTCTACTAGTTGCTGAAATATGCCAACACCGCATTTTCAATGAACGGTATAACAACGCTTAAATATCTTTGAAATCCGGTTAAGCTCGTCCACTAAATTCGGTATCTGGGAATTTATGGGCAAGCGAAATTCAACTGTGATATCGGCAATGTTGCCAAGTTTCCCAGTTTCGCGGTACACGTAGTCTTTTTGTTATCTTAAATTAAATACACCATTTATTTTTATTGCAATGAATTGGTCAAAATTTTAATGAGATTTCAAATTGTCAATATGCTGCTTGTACTGTTAGATACTACTATAGTGAGAATCATTCTGGGATAGTTACCTACCTATTTCAGGAGGAGCCGCAAACTTATCGGAACCGCCCGGAAATATGAATACCTACCTCATGAACATGTAACGTTTAAACGTGTATTATTGAAAAAAAAGAACCATAAGCCACGAGCAAGACTACGTGTAGCGCGAAACTGGGAAACTTGGCAACAATGCCGATATCACAGTTGAATTTCACTTGCCCATGAATCCCCAGATACCGAATTTAGTGGACGAGCTGAAGCGGGTTTTCAAAAATATTCAAGCGTTGCGCGTTGCGATACCGTTCACTGAAAATGCGGTGTTGGCATATTTCAGCAACTAGTGAAGAGAGAATTCTGAAAATTTGGAATCATCAATTTTGTCACGTCCAATTTATTGCTATAAAAATAAATGGGGATTCTATTCAAGATAACAAAAAGACTACTTGTAGGGCAAAACTGGGAAATCTGGCAACAATGCCGATATCACGGTTAAATTTCACTTGCTCGAAAACCCCCAGATACCAAATTTCGTGAACGTCCTTAAGCAGCGTTTGAAGATATTCAAGCGTTGCGATACTTTTCACCGAAACTACGGTGTTGTCATATTTCAGCAAGTAGTAGAGATAGAATTCTGAAAATTTGGAGTCTTATCAAATTTGGCAAGCCCAATTCATTGCAATAAAAATAAATGGGGCATTCTATTTAAGATAACAAAAAGACTACGTGTAGCGCAAAACTGGGAAATCTGGCAACATTGCCAATAGCACTGTTGAATTCCGCATGCCTGAAAACTGTCAGATTCCGAATTATGTGAACGCGGCTTAAGCAGTTTTGAAGATATTTAAGTGTTGCAGTACTTTTTACTAACCCTGTATATAGAAGAGAAGATAATATCAGAACCTTAATTGTTTTCTTGGTGGTTTATTTCCGCGCCATTACAATATCATTGGTCTATACTTAAGGTCTATACCACATATAGAAACAATAATTTGTAGTCTTTGTGAAGATACCCATTGAAAATAGATTCCGTATACAGGGTGGTCCTTTTATCTTGAGACAATCTAATATCGCGAAAACGGCGTCTTTCTCAGAAAAAAAGTTCGAATAAAGTCATATGCGTGTCACAGGCGAAAGAAAATGATAGCAATGGTTTTTGACTCCTGCTTACTTTTATTTGAACTTTATATGAACGAGATAAATTAAATGGACCACCCCACCCTGTATATACATTTGATCAATGGTGCCTGAAACTAATACAAGATTAAAATTTTCCAGGTTCTCTCCCTCAGACTTTGTCGCGACGTAAGAACAAGACAATCTCTCGGCTACGGCTACGTAAACTTTAGCAGTTCGCTGGACGCTGAACGAGCTTTAGATACAATGAATTTCGATCTGATCAAAAACAAACCGATGCGCATAATGTGGTGTCAAAGAGACCCCGGTCTAAGAAAATCTGGCATTGGCAACATATTCATCAAAAATTTAGACAAAAGTATTGATAACAAATCTATGTACGACACGTTTTCCGCCTTTGGCCACATTTTGAGCTGCAAGGTGGCCTTGGACGATGACGGAAAGTCCAAAGGTTATGGCTTTGTACATTTTGAAACTGAAGAGTTGGCCAATAAGGCTATTACTAAGGTCAATGGAATGCTTTTGAATGGAAAAGTTGTGTATGTAGGCAAATTTGTGCCTCGTGTTGTACGCGAAAAAGAGCTGGGCAATAGAGCCAGACCTTTCACTAACTTGTTTGTCAAAAATTTTGGACAAAACATGACTGACCAAAAGTTTAAAGATTTATTTTCCAACTTTGGAGTCATTACTAGTAGTCTAGTGGTACGAGATGCAGATGGTACAAGCAAAGGCTTCGGTTTTGTTGCTTTTGAAGATGCTAAATGTGCTGAAAAAGCTGCAGAAGTATAAAAAATTCTTATTCTATATTGACATATTGTACTGATACAATGTTTTTTCATAGGAAATGAACGGCTACGAATTTGAAACAAGAACCATTTATGTCGGACCTGCTCAGAAAAAGGCGGAACGTGTGCAGGAATTGCGGAAAAAGTTTGAACAGCAAAGGATGGAAAGGTTCACCAGATACCAAGGGGTGAATTTGTACATTAAGAATTTGGACGATACTTTTGATGATGATAAACTCAAGACCGAGTTTGAACCTTATGGAACTATTACATCTGCAAAGGTAGTTATGGAATCAAAGTTATGAACAGCTGGACAGTTCTATAGGCAATCAAGAGCCAGTGATAATTCAAATTTTTGATTCTTATTGGCTCTTGATTGCTTCTAGAATCATTTTCCAACGAATCAGAGAAATTTCTCACCTTTAGGTGTTAATTGATCTCGTGGCTTTCTTGTTATTCGAACTAGAAACCAGATTTTTCCATTACCGATCCTATTTTGATGATGTATTGGCTGAAATTTAAGAAACTACTGTTAGTTCATATTTTATTAATTTTTGTAGTTTGCTTCGCAAATTTACATCTGGTTAATTTCTGCAAAGACTACACAATATATAAAGATGGCGTCGAAATTTGAATTATCAATAATGCCAACATAAAAAGCTGTCAATGGAATTTTGTATTCCTAATTCTTCAAAGTTTCAAATTATGATTATTTCCGGCTCTTGAACATTAAATCAAGAGCTAGGAAAGACTAAAATTTGAAATTTTTTAACAGATCGATTCCATTTAGACGCCATTTTGAATTTTAATTCCATTGACAGTTATCTGTTTTGAAGCATTTTATGTTGGCAGCACTGGAAATTCAAAATTTGGTGTGGTGTTATAATGGTGGTAAATGGTAATCAAAATTTTTATAATTATCGGCTCTTGATTAGATAGAAAATTCTACAATCAATAAATGGAGTCAAAATTCTGATAATGTTTTGATCAGCTGAACAATTCTACAGGCAATCAAGAGCCGATAATAATTGAAATTTCTGACTCTTAGGGCCGGTTTATCAATAGAGCAGGGTTACCCCATGAGTTACGGATAACCTTGGGTCAAAATTATGACGAGTGTTTATTCATCCAGGGTCAACTGCTAACTCGAAAGCTATTCCAGGAAAAAGTTAACCCGCACTCTCGCGGCAAGTTAGCATATTTGATCCGGGGTTAACCTCAACATTTTCTCTTATTTTCTATCTGATTTTTCTTGAAAAGTGCTGGTTTTGGCTTGAATTTTGATATTATGAAGAGATGGAGGACCTGGATTTCAGTGATGATGGTCAAGATGTTCTAGAATATCTGGAACATGGATGAGCGGCGCCTCTACCACAGGCACCTAAGGTATCGGTCAAATCCCTTTGAGGATGTGATTTTTTTCAGATGGTCTTCTTCATTTGAATTTTGCTTTGTAAGTGTTACGTTCAAAAGATTAAATATCCAAGTGTGATAACATGTGCCTCTTCAAATCGCTTTTTCGTTTGTATTTTACTTTGCAAGTGTCACATTCAAAAGGATAAATATCCGAGTGTGTCACCATGTGCATCTTCAAAACGCTTTTTATTTTAAATTTTGCTTTGCAAGTGTCACATTCAAAAGGATAAATATCCGAGTGTGTTAACATGTGCTTCTTCAAAACGCCTTTTGTTTTAAATTTTGCTTCGCAAGTGTCACATTCAAAAGGATGAATATCCGAATGTGTTAACATGTGCATTTTCCAATTGCCTTTTTGTTTAAATTTCACTTTGCAAGTGTCACATTCAAAAGGATAAATATCCGAGTGTGTTAACATGTGCCTCTTCGAAACACCTTTTCGTTTAAATTTCACTTTGCAAGTGTTATATTCAAAAGGATATACAGGGTGTCCCACGACGTTTTTCCCAGGTAATAACTTCGGAACGCGTCATCCAATATAATTGAAATTTTGAGGATCTGGGTAACTTTTTGCGCCGCTTCTACCATTGTCATTCAATTCCACCACTTTTGCTTCAGTTTCAGCTAAGTGACGTCAACTTTCGAATTTCAAATGTAACTCATGGTATATTATGGCATTTTTCGTTATAAAATTAAATTACAAAATCGACAATGCCATATTTGTTAAGGCTTGTTAAAGAAAATTATAAAAAATTATACAGTGGAACATACGATGATACGTTCCGAAGTTATCATTTGGGAAAAACCTCGTGGGACACCCTGTATATCCGAATCTGTAAACATGTGCATCTTCAAATGGCCTTTGGTATGAATGTAAACATGGAAAACTCTAGTTGCAACGTGCTCCCTGCTTTCTAGCAGCAAGTCGCACGGTCGCACTCATAATATGATATATGCCTTTTCAAATCGCTTTCCGTTTGAATTTTGCTTTGCAAGTGTCAAATTCAAAAGGATGAATATCCGAATGTGTTAATATGTGATTTTTCAGATGGTCTTCTTCATTTCAATTTTGCTTTGTAAGTATTAGGTACATTCGAAAGATTGAATATCCAAGTGTGATAACGTGTCTCTTCAAATCGCTTTTTCGTTTATATTTTACTTTGCAAGTGTCACATTCAAAAGGATAAATATCCGAGTATGTCAGCATGTGCATCTTCAAAACGCTTTTTATTTTAAATTTTGCTTTGCAAGTGTCACATTCAAAAGGATAAATATCCGAGTGTATTAACATGTGCTTCTTCAAAACACCTTTTGTTTTAAATTTTGCTTCGCAAGTGTCACATTCAAAAGGATGAATATCCGAATGTGTTAACATGTGCATTTTCCAATTGCCTTTTTGTTTAAATTTCACTTTGCAAGTGTTACATTCAAAAGGATAAATATCCGAGTGTGTTAACATGTGCTTCTTCAAAACTTCTTTTGTTTTAAATTTTGCTTCGCAAGTGTCACATTCAAAAGTATAAATATCCGAGTGTGTTAACATGTGCTTCTTCAAAACGCCTTTTGTTTTGAATTTTGCTTCGCAAGTGTCACATTCGAAAGGATGAATATCCGATTGTGTTAACATGTGCATTTTCCATTTGCCTTTTTGTTTAAATTTCACTTTGCAAGTGTCACATTCAATAGGATAAATATCCGAGTGTGTTAACATGTGCCTCTTCGAAACACCTTATTGTTTAAATTTCACTTTGCAAGTGTTACATTCAAAATCTGTAAACATGTGCATCCTCAAATGGCCTTTGGTATGAATGTAAACATGGAAAACTCAAATTGCAACGTGCTCCCTGTTTTCTAGCAGCAAGTCGCACGGTAGCACGTCGCATGCTACTTTGGTATAAGTAAATGCCTTACGGAAACGAAAAAAAAAAAAAGAAAAAATAACATGATTAAGTAAGGTTATGAGCAGAAAATGTGAAAAAATAAATAAAAGTGACCTTGCATAAGTAGTGCCAACCTTCGAAGAACCCGAGAGTTTACCAGCCCTGGGTTAAAAAAGCTTGGATAAGCACCTTTCGACTCAACTAGCTAGTTAGCCCAGAGTTAGAGTTGATTCAGGGTCAGGAAACTCTGCGAGTTATCCCTTGATTGATAAACCGGCCTTTATTGGCTCTTGATTGCCTCTAGAATCATTTTCCAATGAATCAGACAGTGGTAATCAAAATTTTAATAACTATCTGCATTACATCTGTAAAAGTAGTACCTATCTATGAATTATTTTTATACTTTTTTGGATGTCAGGGAGGTACCTACTACCTCAGAGTACCTACTACTATCAACTTTTGATGATTTATTCCAGGTCATGACAGCAGCCAATGGCAGATCTCGCGGTTTCGGATTTGTATGTTACACAAACACTGATGAAGCTACAAAGGCCATTCAAGAGATGAACGCAAAAATAGTGGGTTCGAAACCCCTATACGTCGCGTTGGCTCAACGCAAAGAAACTCGCAGGGCGTACCTTGCCAGCCAACACATGATTAGGGCCCATGCTGCTAGACAACAAGTAAAAATTTATCCATACAAAGTCCATTTTGTATAGATGGAAATCCCAAATCTTTCTCTCAAACATCATTGAGGATGTAAATTCAATTCTTTGATAAATAGAGAAAGGTTTGAAGTATTTTCAAAAGAACGCCACTTAACTGTCACAATAACTTCAAATATCCACCACCACATAAATTATTGAAGCTTCTTTTACACAAGAAGTCACAGTTTCCTGATTATGAACATTTCCACTTACATAATTTACAAACACAAAAAGCTTCAAATATTGTCTGGCCAGTGGATCTGAAGCAACGGAAGAAATTCGGATGAAAATGTTCGATGTTGCCACTGGATTCAACACACCGTTGCCCCGTAGGTAGCTTCAGATTTATTGATCAGACAATACGTAAATACATTTCTGGATTTTAAGTTTCAGGATTTTCTTTTTCTCAAAAACCTTCATCACTTTTATATAGGGTGTCCAATACGCTGGTGCGCCATCGTTTCTTTTACCAGCAGTGGCGCAAGGACCGAGAATTTTCACTTCGGCCCCCCCTTTAAGACCAGCTCCGCGATGGCCTGGTTTGCAAACCCTGGCGAGACCCAATGGGGCAACTTTCGGGCTTCCCCTGCTCGGAGCCACCCCGTTTAGGACCACTTCGACTACTAGGCCTTTGCCACAGAGATCTAATCCTCGTCCAATAACAAGTATGTACCTAACGCAATTATTTCTCGGTAAAATGAATTCAAGAGCCGAGAATAAACATACTATTTCTTTAGGTACTTCTGCTGGCCCATTAACAGCTCGTCCAAATTCGAAATTCACCCAACGCCACGGTCTGGATGCTCCAATAATTGACGGCAGATACGCCCAAGTTGCACCTCAAGAAACCAAACAAATTTTGGGTATTTTCCTTGTTTTTACATACGAATTTATTTAAAGTGTTTGCTGTTTTCTAATAGGTGAACAATTGTTTAAGATTGTTGAAAAACTTCATCCGGAATTGGCGGGCAAAATCACTGGGATGCTGCTTGAAATTGACAATTCCGAATTGGTTCATATGATCAAGAATCAGGAATCTTTGAGAGCGAGAGTAAGAAGTGTCTGGATAAATATTGTAAATTGAATTATAATGTTTTAGGTTGAGGAAGCTATAGCTGTTCTCGAAGCTCATAAACAACTATCCACCACCAAAAAAGTCCTAACGATCCAAGATTGAATGTAGTTTCAGAATTCATTTATCAATGTTCTTGTATTTATTGTATATAGTGTAAGATTTTGTTAATTTGCGTCAAATGTCGCATTTCTATATTAGTTTTAAGTTTTCTCGTTCGTACATTGTTTAAAAATTAATATGTATTTACTAATTGTTGCCTCATATTTTTTTGATACTGAATAAAATAATATTGTAATCGTTCATCGCTGTTTGAAACAATGGAGATCATCTTAAAACTCCTACCCATTGTGGCCTTGATAGTTATATAGTACCACTACTTTTAGTTGGGTATCGTCGTAGGTAGGTACTGGTTTTGCTTGAGTCATCGAATCGAGTACAACCTACTTGTGAAAGTACAGTAAAGTGCCTCGACCTCGTAGTTTCTCGGAAATAATGCGTTTGTGACTGGTGAAATTATGGCAAATTCTGAAGGAACTGAGACAGGTATTAAAATTTTGGTTTGCAAAATTCGTAAAATGATGTTAATTATTCCAGTAATTGAATCAACCAGAGAAGATATTCCTTTAAAAACCGGCACCAGATTATCAAAATGGTACGGCTGCAATGAAGAATGCCTTAGCGGTACCAAGTTTATTAACGCAGCTTTTGGTACTCTTACATTTATAATAACTGTTGCATTATTGATACAAATTCACTACGGAGATTATCAAGTGGTACCGCATGGAAGTGTCGCTACGGACAGTTTGGAATGCTCGAAAATTGGAACCCAAATTTTGAAGCAAGGCGGAAATGCTGTGGATGCAGCTATAGCTAGTGCGTTTTGTTTAAGCGTAGTTACCCCACATCTTACTGGTCTTGATGCGTAAATATATTAGGAATTTTGTTTTATTTTATATTTTTAGTTTAAACTCTTTTAGGAGCGGCCAAATGATGATTTACAACCACAAAAGTAAATCTTTACCAGAAATAGTTGACTTTAGTAATGTTACCTCAAGCAATTTGCCTACTTTAGTATTAGGATTAGCTTATATTCATAAGCATTATGGTAGTTTAGCTTGGAAGGATTTAGTTCTACCTTCGGCTGAATTGGCAAAGTAAGTTTGAGTTAACGTACATGCCTTATTGTGTCACGATATTAGAAATTCCTTGTTTTGTGAATCTATAGAACCCAACAAGTAATCCTGGAAATTTTCGTAATAAAAAGACAGATGACCCGTTCGAGAATACAGAGGTACGATATTTTCTCCCTTGCGGCCCTCAATAGACACTTTGAAGGAGTGTTAGAATTCGTAGGTACCTCTGTTGCACGTGGTCAACTGGTTTTGCGATCACACTTATGCATTCTTTCATAATGCTCATGTGGCTCAAGGTTCCTAAAGTTCAAAGGTTGTCTATCTGGTAATGGGTAACTTGGGTGCCTTATAGAGATTTGCATATTATGTTGAGGCATACAGATAAAAGTTATCAGGCAACCTCCTTCTTTCAAAAAACCTTGCATGTGGCTGACAAAGTCCCCTTCCTTTAGTTTAAGGGATTGTGCTATTCTTGAGGCTCCCATGTAGGCCTCTTTTTTTCACTATTATATTACCTATGTGATTATATCTACACCATTTCAACATCAATTTCGGAAAAAGTTACTTTTATTTAGGAAAATGTCAAATTAATTTCAGAAAAAGTAAAGTTAATTTCGGAAAAAAGTAAATGCAAATTCGGAAAAAGTAAATTCCAATTCGGCAAAAGTAAGCTATGAATGAATTTACATTTTCCGAATTTGAATTTCCTTTTTCCGAAATTAACTTTACTTTGTCCGAAATTACCATTACTTTTTCTGAAATTGATTTGAGTTTTTCCGGAAATGACTTGACATTTTCCTAAATAAAAGTTACTTTTTCCGAAATTGAGGTTGAAATGGTGTAGTGAGGGACAGTGGCGGCTTGTCACAGAAGGCAGGGGAAGCAAAGCCTCCCCCAAAAAATTGAAAATTCAATCTCAGTTTATACGCGAGCCCGAAGGGCCGGAGTTATACGCGAGCCCGAATGGCTAAAGTTATTTTAATCATGGGGTTCAGTCTATAATTCTATTGGTCAGTGGATAATTTGAAGCCAATCAAAAATCGGGAATATTCAAAATGTGATTTTTAGTCGATATTCCGACTTTTAGTGCTTTCCGATGTACCAGAAAAAAATTAGCCTCCCCATCTTTCTTGATTTTGAATTTTTTTTTTCGAATTTCCAAAAAAAAATACCATCGGATAGAGGAGCAAAAAATACGACGAAAAGTTAATTGGACCCTTCTCGCTACGGCACATGTTAAGGCCGAAAAAAAATAAAAAAGGAAAGGACATGGCACTAAATATTAGAATCCTGGTGATCGGTCGATTTTTTTAAAACTGCAGTATGTTATTCTATACCTGAAAACAAGCATTTTTGCTTATGGTCACTTCTTTGTACGAGTATGGGATGTCCCAGAAAATTAAGTCCAAAGTTTTTATATGGAAGATTTTGTTTGAAGCATAAACTATCTATCTGTTATGTATTTTTGCAACTTATACATTAAAGACAAAGATATTTGTATAGTTAAGAACAAAAATTATTATACAGGGTGTCTCAACAATTTTATTTTAAACCAAACTACACTCTAAAGAAAGCCAATAACCAAAATAACGGTGAAAAAAATTGAGTTCAAAGTTTTTATATTAAATGTTTGATGTATCGGTTTAGTGATTTTGAATATGTATTGGTCTGTTGTATTAACAACACAGTTAGGGCCAGTTTCACAAACATTTGTAACTTAAAGGTAAACACAAGACACTGGTAACCTACAATATATCTGTTTCATGATGTGTGGTTTCGCCAAAACCTTTGGTCAAGCTTCAGAATATTCCATGTAGTCAACCCGCAAATATGAGTCCGATAGCCAGTGCAGGTTACCACAAGGTTACCACCAATTGTGAAACTGGGCCTATTTGGCATATTTTTGTATTTGTTGATCTATTTCTACAGTATTAAATCCAAATCGTTTCCAGGGAACAGCAGCTACTTCAAATAGTCTCTGGTGATCATTGTTACAATGTTTGTAGTTATTATTGATATTTAAGGTTATTATAGTTTTGTAGCAGTTCTTTTGGTTATTGGCTTTCTTTAGAGAGTAGTTTGGTTTAAAATATAATTTTTGAGACACCCTGTATAATAATTTTTGTCCTTAACTACATAAATAGCTTTGTCTTTAATGTATAAAATGCAAAATCACATAACAGATCAGTTTAACAACGGCTAAACATAAGTTTATGCTTAAAGAAAATATTTCATATACAAACTTTGAACTCAATTTTCTGGGTCATCCCATACTCGTACAAAAAAGTGACCATAAGCAGAAATGCTTATTTTCAGGTATAGAATAACATACTACAGTTTTAAAAAAATCGGCCGATCACCAGGATTCTAATATTTAGTGCCATGTCCTTTCGATTTTGATCAGAAAAAAATTGTGGGTACCCGACATGAGGCCATTTTTTCGCTTATAGCTCCGCTATTGCTTAACCGATCGTTTCGAGTCATATCTCTTTTGAAAAAGGATGAAATTACCTACATAATGTTTTTTATTGAGATTCTAGGCCGTTTTCGTCTTTGGGATATCAGCCGTCAAAGTTGAAATTCTTCGTAATTTTGTTCAAATTTTCGAGGTCGATTTTCTCGAAAACGGTGCCCTGTGGAGGGATACTTCTAATAGGCTTTTTTGTAGTATTTGACGAGATCTACAAGTTTTGTATTTGAAGTTTTTCTCTCGAGCTTTTTGTTTTCGAGTTAGGTCGCTTTGAAAATTAAAAGAAAAATTGGAATAGATTTTTTTTTCAAAAAAATTTAAATTTTGAATTTCGGGAAAAAAAAAAAATTGGAAAGAGACGCAAAAAATACGTCGAAAAATTAATTTGACTCTCCTCGCTACGGCGCATCTTAAGGCTGGAAAAAAATGAAAAAGGAAATTTCGATTTTGACTAGAAAAAAATTGTGGGTTCGACATGAGGCCACTTTGTCTAGACACCATCTAATAATGACATTTAGGGTATTTTGCCTGGAGAACTATACGAAAATATACAAAACTGTATGATTATTCAAAAACCGTACATAGGATTGAATTTCATACTAACATGGAAAGGTTGAGGGGTTAGTCTGGTTAGTCAGAAATAGGAAATACCAGTGGCGTACACCCCTAATGATGACGGTACTCAGTACTGTGAGGTCGTCAGCATATCCTAGAACTGTGATTATTTGGGAACTTAAAGCGTTGAGAAATTATCTATCTACCAGTGACTACAACAGTGGGAACAATACCCCCCCTTGCCTGCTAAGACTGTTGCAGAGTAACTTCCAATGGTTGCTTTGATTTTCCTATTCTTAGCATGGCTTCAATCCATGCAATTGTAGTTTCATCAAGTTCCTTATTTCTAGCCGCTCTTCTTATGGATTCATGTGAGGTGTTATCAAAGGCTCCTTCTTCATCAATGAATGCACCTAGAGTGGATTCTTGATTAGTGTGCCTTTTCAATCTTGGTGACAAGACTGTGTAGGACTGTCTCAGTTGATTTACCTGGCTGATAGGCAAATTGATTCTTTTGGAGCGGGTTTTCCGTTAGAAATTCACTCCTGATGTGAAGGTCAATGATTTTCTCCATGGGAGAAAAGATTAGGCTAATTGATCTGAATGACTTAGGCTGTTGCGTAGGACTCCTACCAGCTTTTGTAATGGAGACCACATTCACATCCCGTCAACTGATGGGAATGTAGCCTAGTAGGTAGCTATAGCTTTAAACATTTTTGTTAGCTACAGGCCTTGTTGTAAGAGTGCGGGAAAGATCCCATCTTTGATTTGTAGGGCTGGGCTGGAAGCTGTTTATAGCCCATTTAATCCTATTTTCAGTAAATATCCTTCCGGCTACGCCTCAAATGCGGCTGGTCAGTTGCGGAACGCCGTTTATTACCACAGCCCTTTTCCCATAAGGTTTCTACTCGATAGACTCTTTTTCCTTCAAATTCTTCTACTTCAAAGATTCGCGTTTTTTCTTTTCACACTAATTTATAATGAAATAAATACTTAATTACTGCAGGCACGGCTATGTTGTTTCAAAAATGTTAGCTCAAGCAGTCAATCGGGCAAATGCTTCGGACCTTTATGGAAGATTAGAGCCTGGACAATTATTGAGGCATATAAATTTGAGCAACACTCTATTAACTATTTCAAATATTACAGAGAATGGTAAATTGCACTTTACAATATCATGAAAAATATTTATAATACTTTTGTAGAGCTCTACAGTTACATTGACTCTAGAAACCAACCAATAGAAACACAAGCAATACAATCTACTTTTCACAACTACAACGTATTTGTTCCTAGTCAGGATTCTATTGGACCAATTTTGCTAGTCAATTTGAGGTATTTAAGCAAATAAATTTCAAATTGTTTAATACTTAAACCTCCTTATATAGAGAAATCGAAGAATACAATTTTACCCAACTAAATGTGGCAGCTACAAAGAAAATCCTCGAAACCACATTAAAAATATATCAAGAGTTTAATGTCAGCTCCAAATTCCATCAAGGCACTTCCAGTAATGTTGCCGTTATGGATTTAGAAGACAATTATGTATCTCTTGTAACGTAAGATTCAAATAAAAAATAATTTCCTTAATTAATTAGTTATTTTAGAGGCATGTATGGTATGTTTGGTTCAGGCGAATTAACAATCCACGGCTACGTGCTAGATACAAAACTTCCAAACAAACCTTGCAGTCGTATTCCAATAATTTTAACCGAAAGTAAATTTATTTGTGGTAAAAGGATGGCCTTAGGTGCAAACGGAATAGCACAGGCAAGCCAATTAGTCTCCAACACTGTTATTGGTAATCAAAATGCCACTGATGGAATTGAGGCTCCAAGATTTTATGTTTTGGATAATTTTACAGTTGCAGTAGAAGGTAAGAGATTTAATTGATCTAAAATTGGCTGTGCAATGCTTGTTTTCTAGCTTTCCATAGTCCAAAGTTCCCAGTGGATATTCTCCAGTATTTGAAAGATATCCATAAAGAACCAATTTTAATGCCAGAACCATATTATAGTAGCAATATTGTGGAAAAATACGGAGATGAATTGAGTTCGCATTCGGATAGTAGAGGAGGAGGCATTGCCAGCAGATTTTGACTGTGATATTTTTCTTGTTTATTTATTGTGTTGTTTTAATAAACAATTTTGATTTAAGTCTTATATTATTCTATGCTAATGTGACGCTGGTTCCTTGATTATTTTTTAAAACTTCCTCGCACTTTTCCATATTTTCTAAAATATTAGGCAACGTCCAGTGTTTCATTAAAAGGGCATTTTCTATTGTAAACCTGCAACATTATTAATCATTTAAAACGGGAATATTATAAACAAATCAATTTATACCTGCTATGCCTTATACATTGAATCCCAGTACAATGAGCAGTTGAATGTAGTTTTAGACCAATTTCATTTATTAAATGCATCAAATAGTCTTCATATTCATTTACGCATTGGATTTCTTAAAAAGTAAATAAATAATAAACATTATATAGGCAAAATATACTAATTAATACCTAAAGTAAATTCTGGTCCATCAAATTCAACACATTTTATGCCATAAATTACAGGGATTTTTGAATTGGCTGGCCTTATAAGACCTTGTATTGCCAAATCGTAAGCTGCCTGAGATTGCATGTCTACACCACACAATCTAAATAGAATATTTTTCAATTATGTTAATTAGTATAAATGAATATTATTTATCTTACTCAAACATTTTTTTCTGATGTGCAGCTTGCATTGCACTTAAAAATTTATCCATGTTTTCCCTCTTTACGTGTTTCCATGTAGATTTTTGGATGACTTTGCCAGTTTTATAACAATTATCAGTTACTTGGCCTAAAACACCTTTAACCCTGTAGGATCTTGTTGGTAGGTTTTCTCTAATATGTTTGGCTTGTTTAGTACCAGATTTTACACCAAACACTACAATAAATTAAAGTTTATAATATAATGTAAATTATAAAAATTAGTTCTTACGTAAAACTCCACTAGTATTGTATCCTAAGTAATTAGACCAACTTACTGGCAGGTCTTGTTCTTGATATCTGGGACCGACAACTAAAGGGTTGTCAGCTAAATTGGGCCTTACTAGTACAGTCAATTGTTTGGAGGGATCACCTTGTATATCAACGTAGCCTGAAGGTGGTCTCACTTTCAAGTTGTTTAGCTCTAAAGAGAACCAATTTTATTTTGTAAATTTTGAATTCTGAAGCCTAGAGTTTAGTGAAATGGTTTTCAGCTTGAGTAAGTTCGTATTTTTTTTTTATTTTTAGGCAGAAATTGCATGTATGTACAGGGTGGTCCAATTTGGACATCGTGTACTAGAAACTTGAAATAACGAGTGGAAATTTTGGGACCAAATAAATACAAAAAAAACTTATTTGTAGCTAAATTTCGTTTTTTTTTACTCAAACATTCTTTAAAATAGAAAATTTCCTAAAAAGGGAATAATTCCCTCAAACTGGCAACACTGTGACTGGCGACTGGTTATATCAAATGCAAGGTTATCATCAAAGCATTCAATAGGTTGTATCGTGTATCGTCAAGGTATTTATTTGATTGGTTAATGGTTGTTTCCCTTTCCAGTATCTCATTATACGGAGTGTATCAGCCAAATAAAATAAATTCGATAATAAATAAATGGTAGCCTGTTTGAAAAAACGGTCGAACCAGTTGATTTTGATTTTTTGATAAACATTTTTTACTGTTTGCCTAATTTTTTTACAGAGTGTTTCTAAAAACAGTTACAAGGGTATCTATTCTATTTTTTTTATTATTTGAAAAAAATTACATTAAACCTAAGAAGGGATTTTCACGTTTTTCTCTATAATTATTAAAGATAAACTGAGAGATAGATAAACATATCAAATCGTATATCATTAGTTGTATTCCTTTCACCTTTCACATTTAGGAAGAGTTCAGGAACAGCTTCGGGGCTTCACGCACTTATTCCTTTCGAAAAGTGTTTGTTGCACCACGCATCTGTTTGATCTGTTCCCTGCAAATCGGGGGCTACTAAACACCGGAGCGAGTAGCTAGAGTGTTTCAAACTCTTGAAAGGAATACAACTATTGAAATCAGGTTGAAGAGGAGTAATGGCCGTTTCCACCAACTATTTTAGGGGAGCCCTAACGATAAGTATTCCCTAAACTGACATTTCTCCATGTAAAAATGTCAATTTAGGAAATACTTATCGTTAAGGCTCCCCTAAAATAGTTGGTGGAAACGGCCAGAAGAGGACTAAAATAAATTCAAATTCAAAATCTTTTTATTTCAAATAATATGGAGTATAAACAGTTTTGAGTATAGACCATAAATTAAGTGATCAGACCCAAATGCGCATGCGTAGATTTAAATACTGCTTGTCCTTATTGCACGACCAATAACTCTCTAATGTCAAAGGGAAAATGTTTTGAGTTATAATGTTGCACTAAAGTAGTCATTTAGATTGTATGGTTCTAAAATTTTTGGGTAGTTTGTTAAATATTCTTATGCACATGTATGATGGATTTTTTTCTGTTACTTTCAGCCTATGGATTGGAAACACTAAATCTAGTGTCTGAGTGTTATAATATGTAGTATTACAATTGTTTGTGATAAATTGTGACTTATTTTTATATAGATAGGCACATTAAACATTCATACTAATAAACAAGGTCTATAAACCTATCAGTCCCAAGGTGGAAAAAAACTTCGGGAACTATACAATAATTAGGTGCTTTTTAGGTGCTAATTAGGGCCTCTAATTAAAAATTAGGTGCTCCTTCAGTTTTTGAGAAAATCAAAAAAAACTAAGGGACTGCTAGGTTTATAAAAGCTAGCAGTCCATAGTAAAAAATATTTTTTTTCCTAATAATGAAAAAAATCTGTAATTCAGCTAATAATTAACTGATTCAAGTTTTTCTTCAACTATTTAGGAGCACTTAAATAGCACCTAATTCTGATACAAAAAAAAAATTACTATAGGGGACTGCTAGCATTCATAAACCTAGCAGTCGCTTAGTTTTTCTTGATTTCCTCAAAAAATTAAGGAGCACCTAATTTTCAATTAGAGGCCCTAATTAGCACCTAAAAAGTACCTAATTATTATATAGATCCCGAAGTTTTTTTCCATTCTGATACACCAACAAGTAAACGTAAAGCTAGCAGTCCCCTAATAATTAAAAAAAAATCTGTAACTCAGTTAATAATTAATCAATTCTATTTTTTCTTGGACTATTTAGGAGCACCTAAAAAGCACCTAATTCTGATACAATGATGAAATTCTCTTTAAAAAAAAACAGACTTCACAGTGAGAATATTTCTTGCCTTAAACTGATTTCCATAAGATTTCCTAATATCTAATTTATTAATTAACCTAAATACTCTTTTCTGACATAGAAATATTTTTTCCAGATTTTGGTTATTTCCCAAAAAAATTATTCCATATTTGACTCAAAATTCGCAAAATATAATGTCCTTAAGAGTCTGGTTATTTAAATATCGTGACGCAGTTCTGATGGCAAAACATATTCAATTTTTTTGATAGTATTTCTGTATGTTCGTAGTAGTTCAAAAATTTGTCTATACGTACTCCTAAGAACTTTGCGGAGTTTGCTATTTCAAAACTATCTGATTGGAGGTTCAATGAACTAATTTTTTCTTTTTGTGAGTGTGTTGTATCAAATAATACTAATTTAGTTTTTTTTTTCAATGAGAATTAATTTATTTTCATTGAACCAGGATTTTGTTTTAGAGAATATTGTATTTGCTTAATGTTGTATATCTTGTGCAGTTGTAGCCCCAGTCAATAGGTTGCTGGCATCAGCAAAATTTACCATACTTCCCTCCTCATTTTGCATATCTTTGCATAAGTCATTCAAGTAAATAACAAACAGTATTAGACCCAGTATACTGCCTTGGGCAACTCCCACATCACTTGTTAAAATTTTTGAATTTCTGGCATCATTTCCGTCTGCAATGATTACACGATGGGTTCTGTTTGAAATATAAGAATATATCCATTTATTTGCATTACCCCTGATTCCATACATCTCAAGTTTCTCTCTTATGTGCTCTATACATATGGAATCATATGCTCTGGTTCGATCCAAAAATATTCCCAGATCCATTTTGTTTCCCTCAAGAAGTGACAAGATACCCTGAGTGAACTGAAAGATCGCGGTTTGTGTTGATCGCCCCTGTAGATATCCATGTTGATTGTCTGTAAATAATTTATTCTGATGGAAATATTTAGTATACGTGAACAGACTATGATTTCAAATACCTTGAAGAAGCTGGGTAATAAGCTTATGGGCCTGTAACTTTCTACTTTATTTGGTTCTCCACTTTTGAATATAGGCTTGATACGGGCAATTTTTAAAGGTTCAGGGAATATACTAAACTAAGAAATAAGCGCACAATATACATAATCTTCCACTTAAAAAAATATAACTTCGCTCTGCTACACTTTTTTGACGCACCCTGTATGTTTAAAACTGACGTTAAAAACTTTTGACAGTTTCTTAAAACTTTTGTATTTGTCACTTTTGTCAAAAACATCAAATTAAAAAGTTAGCAGGGGGTGACATTTATAATAAATCACCCTGTACATGGGATCAAATTCATACTCATACTACCGGGAAGGTGAAGAGGATTGTAAGAAACAGGGTGACACCAGTGGCGTACACTCGATCGGCCTACGAATGGGAATTCATACAAAAATAACCAAAACAGTTGCTGGTAATATCAAAAATTTTGCAATAAAGTTAGTCACAAGTATACACAGGGTGTGTCACAAAATTATTGCAAAGCAAAATTATACTTTTTTAAATGGAACACCCCATATATTATTGACCTATTAGATTCGACTTTCAAACCTGATTCCACATATACTACATTTTTTAGGTTTATTCCCCATACTGCAAACTTTGAATATCCCATTTTGGAGAAATATGGATTTTTTACTTGAATGATTACCTTTATATTTTGCTGGTGGTCTTTATACTTTACCTTTTTCAATAAAAAATGCAGTCATTCCACCCCTTTTTTTTCTTATTTTTTCCCAGACTATTAGGAATCAACCTAGTATATTTGGAATCAGGTTTGAAAGGCTAACCCATTGGGTCAATGATATATGGGGTGTTCCATTCAAAAAAGTTTAACTTTGTTTTGCCAGACATTGTGACACACCCTGTATATTTGTAACTAACTTCATTGAAAATTTTCTGATATTATTGAGGATATTATTTAGAACCAAATTTGCCATTGTTCAATTTACCTTTAATAGAAACAAATATTAGTTTGGAAAAGTACTTTTCCTACAGCCGTGCGGAAAAATCGATTTTCCGCACTGATATGCGTGCGGAAAATGAGTTTTCCCGCACGGTGCGGTAAAACTTTTTTTTTTGACATATCAGTGCGGAAAAAGTTTTTCCGCACGGCTGTCAGTGCGGAAATTTTTTTACCGCATATGTCAAAAAAAAAAAAGAAAAATTTTACATTTTTTCGCCTCTAGGAAAAATATTGTACCTAACACTTGCGGAGAATATTTTTCCGCACTCAGCTGCATCACCGAACTCCGCTACGCGTCGTTCGGTGACCGGCAACCGCGTGCGGAAAAATTCATTTTCCGCACTTGTTAGGTAAATAGCTATTTCCTACAGCTGTGCGGAAAAATCGATTTTCCGCACTGATATGCGTGCGGAAAATGAGTTTTCCCGCACGGTGCGGTAAAACTTTTTTTTTTGACATATCAGTGCGGAAAAAGTTTTTCCGCACGGCTGTCAGTGCGGAAAATTTTTTACCGCACTGATATGTCAAGAAAAAAAGAAAAATTTTACATTTTTACGCCTGTAGGAAAAATATTGTACCTAACACTTGCGGAAAATATACTTGTTAGGTAAATAGCTATTCCCCCACTAGTGCAGAAAAGTAAAATATTTAAAATGGGTTATGATATGGGTACAAATATTAACTTTCATCTCGTAGAAAAAAATAGTATACAACTCGTACGGAAAGTCTTTTTTCCTCCGTTAATTGCTTAAGTGTCAGTGGCGTAAAAGTGGCACTTTCTGCACTAGTTAATAAATATAATTATTGCAAGGGGTATTTCACCTTGTTAATGGGTGTACGAATCACTGGTTAATATATGTCAATACCAGGTAAATACTACGTCAATAGTGTCACAGCGTCAATACTATACAATAACTACTTGTTAATTATGTAGGTAATATACCGGGTGACAACGAAATCGTTATACAAGGCGTCATTCAGTTGCCTTTGAAGTTCAAAATTTGAAAATCGGGTGGAACGGGTAAGTCATTGAGACGCACATTTTTCGTTAAAAAACATTTGAATATCACTTCCAGTTACTCCGGAAATTGACCCAAGCCAAGAAATTTTAATGGAACCCTGTATATTTTTTTACACGGTTGGATAGAATTCAAAATTCTCTTTTCAATGACATATCACAAGTTGCATTTGTTTCCAAGATGGCGGCGTAAGAAGACATTTTCTTAAATTCAATATGGCGGCAATCTGACGTAAACGATAAATGAATTATGCATTTTGATAGACGTTTCTCGGAATAAAATGCCGCCATATTGAATTTAAGAAAGTACCGCATTACGCCGCCATCTTGAAAACAAATGCAACTTGTAATATATCATTGAAAAGAGCATTTTTAGCTCTACCCAACTGTGTAAAAAAATATACAGGTTTCCATGAAAAATTCTTGATTTGGGTCCATTTCCGGAGTAACCGGAAGTGAGATTCAATTGTTTTTTTACGAAAAATGTCTGTATCAATGACGTTCTCCCCGATTTTCAAATTTTTAACTTAAAAGACAACTGAATCACGCTTTGTATAACGATTTCGTTGTCACCCGGTAAAGTCTGTCAATTTTAATTTGATACTCAAAAAGAATGTGAGTTGGTGACTCTTTACATTAGAATGCCAATGGTCACCTGACGTCACACCTGTTTTTTCCATAAGCGTCACCCCCTCGCTACTTATACGGAAAGTGTCAGATTAAAAACGACGGACAATATGTCAATACTTGTAGATATCTAGGCAATATATGTCAATGTCATTTCTGATACCCATTAGTCTGTTTCTGCAGAAATCACAAACCAGTCAGAGTGAATTTCATTGGTTGAAACTAGTTTTCTGACTGTTTTCAACCAATGAAATTCACTCTGACTGGTTTGTGATTTCTGCAGAAACAGACCTAACATGAAAATACCTGTGGATATGTCAATTATCTAGAATTCTGGTAAAACAAACATTTGATTTCAGTCTGTCAATAACATGGCAATATTTGGTAATATTTTGTTAATACATGGAAATAGTTAGCAGTAACTTTTTATTAGGTACATACACTTTATTTTTTCCCAAGATAGATTTTGACATTGTCAACTTTGAAACATAAACAAAGCCGCTAATGCCGCTTATTGGTCGCAAAATGCCATTTGCACGACATGCATTGTAAAACTGATGTCAACCTGCAGGGACACCTCATTTTGCGACCAATCAGGGCCAAGCGGCAAGCTAATTGTTTATGTTTCAAAGTTTTCAATGTCAAAATCTATCTTGGGAAAAAATAGACTGTAGAAATATCTGTTAATACATGAAAATTATCTCAGTACTGTTAATCGGTGTACTGTACAAATTTTGTTAGGTGAAAAACCCTTGAATTATTGGTACTTTTTTCATTTGTGCTTACCCTGACACATTTTATGTATGAAAATATTTCTTAATTTTTTAACAGGCACTTCCGCAGGTTTGTAAATGCAAATGAGGCCCTTTAGAGCGTTCCACACTGCAGGGGCTTCCGGAACCAACATGATTTAACTTATAAATAATATAAAAATTAAAAAGAATTTGAAAAAATGTTTGTTTACAAAATACAAATGAAAAAAGTGAGGTTAGAAATTACAATGACTTTAGTAGATTTGGCAACGTTGCTGTAGGCCTACTTTAAATTAATTCTTTATTTAAGAAATTAACAAGACAAAAAGTGCTTTATTAAAAAAATACGTTTCTATTATTATTCCAACTGTAATAAGAAAAGTAAATACTAAAAAGTACTTAGTAAAATTTATTTTTAGAAAAATTCTCAATGTATTTTGTATGTATATATTTCTAAACCGAGTCCTAAACTAATTTAATTAGAAAATTATATATATTTATATATTTTTATAACAAACAATAAGAAAAGAAAATACTCTTGGTAAGCTAACCTAAGGTTACAAGTGAACTTTTAAATAATTACATGTTAAAAAATAATAATAGACCAAACATTATTGAGATTAAACTATCCATAAGTGAGTCCCTTTTTCTGTATGGCAACCGAAACTGCCGCATTTAAAAAATCCAATTCGGCCTCAAAAGGATTGGACATCGGGCTTGCAGTTTCGACACTCAATGAACTCGAAGAAGAACCCACCAACAACTCATTTTCTTGTTCCTTTTGCAAATTTTCCAAATTATCAACAGCAGGCTCCTGATTGTTATTCAAACCCTCAGTACGAGATTCGCTCCCTATACTGCCAGCAATAGCCACATTTGAACCAACACTGGAATTCGAATTGGAACTGAACAATGTTGAAGGGCGCAAATTTGGATCAGATTGGAGCCCATGTGATTGTATTGCCATCAAAATAGCATCGTCTTCAACTTGGCCGTCATTTTCGGTGTCTTCCACAATAGTAGACGGGTCAAAGGGACGATCAATCCAATGCTCCAACATACTGTTGATTGTATTATCAACAAATCCACGAGCTATTTGTCTGGCGTGCCACTTCCTCAAATAATAATCTTGATCTTTAGCCTGAGCTGAAACCATTGTAACGGGAATTTCGTTTTCAGTGCTGTCAGATTCTTCATCTTCTGATCTTTGTTGGTCAATGAAATCTTCAGTTTGGGCTACGAAAAATGCACGGCAACAATTTTCAGGGTCTGGTGACGGATTTCTAGCTGGTACTTCTTCACTGGAACCACTAGTATCGTCTACAGGCAATTTGCTCGAATCTTTCAAATGGCCTTTTCCTTTTATCTCCCACATGTACCTGGCTTTTTTCAGGGGTTTCTCTTCGTCTGGCGAGTCGTTTTTTCTGGAATGCTCGCCCTTGTCCATGATTGAAGCTCACAAAATGTTTGTTTGAGGAAAGTATTGACCAGCGGTCAGACTATAAAACTGCACCATAGAGGAGTGAAGTGGACAGCTATTTTATTGATTTGACACGTTTAAATAGTACACAAAGACGTTGGCAGATTCACTTTGGAGAGAATTTTGGGCACAATAATTAAGGACTTTGGAAAAAATTAATTCAAGAATTATTGGGATACATTTTGATTATTTACAAATTTTTAATCAGATGTTTTTAATTTTAGAAAAGGACGTTTGTTTTTTCCTGGCTTATGGAATTAATGCAAGTTAGAAAGAGATGGAGAGAAAATTTCAATTACGGATTACTACAGTGGCGACATCTATGATTTAATGCATTAAAGGCCAATCATTTGGTATCTCTTTTTAACTTATGGCTTAGTTAGAAGAAGGCAAACAAAAAACTAAATACCAATATCCTAACCTCAAATTTCACTGGCAACATCAACATTTTGTTTGCATTAACAAATATTATCAAAAAAGCCCCATTTTTCAACAAATTCATCATGGAAATAGATCTAGAACAATCCGACGAAGACTATGTCATTCAAAAAGCCAAAGAAGCCCTAAAAATCGACCCGTACACTGCAAAAGCCTGGATGCTGACCGCAAAATCTTTGTACCCCAACAATTTCGTGGTGCAATTCGAGGCCTATTTGATTGAAAAAACGGCGGGAAACGTTAAAGAGGCCGCCAAATGTTTCAGCGATCTAATTGGCAAGTTTGAACAAGTCGAACTATGGAAAGAGATTGAAAAAGTCACTGCAGCTTTGAGATCTGAAATCGACAGTGAAGATCCAGAAAGGCAGTTTTTGTGCGAAATGTTCAAACACATTTCGCCTAAAGTGCAACATAAACTTTTGTTGTTTACTGCTAATCATTGTGAGGATACTATGGAGCATTGCAGGTTGCTTTTGCTGCTTCTACAAAGGTTTCCTACAGCTATTTCTAGCCATGGAGTAAGTGATTTTGTTAAAGATTGAGAAACCTTGATGCAAATTAAGAGGAAAATACTTAGAGCAAGTAAAGTGCTCTGTCCTACAAACATAAGTTTAATCAGAGGAATGTATCATAAGGCTGATAATGTCAAAACATCTTCTCTGTCTTGAACTTTTGTTTGTACCAGAATGTTTCCTTTTCCAACTGCTCTAAGTGTTTCTCCATTTGCTGTCGTTATAGTGTGTGTATCTTGAAAATATTCAAATGTTTCAAACGAGGGACGGTTAACTCCTTAGAATATGTACACAGATTTCAAATCTTTTTGTAGGATTTTGAAAATCTTCACATGATTTTACAGAATTTTAGAAGATTTTTGAAATCCCAGAAGATTTCCAAGATTTTAGGGGATTTTAAAAGATTTTTGGAGATTTTAACAGATTTTTGGAGATTTTAACGGATTTTTGAGGATTTTGAAAGATTTTTGTAGATTTTAATAGCTATTTATACAATAAGTTACGAAATGAACGCAAGTGAACGCGTCGTGTTTTTTTTGTTTCTCTGAAGTATTGGCTATTTGAGCTGTTTGTTGTTGGAAATAATTGTGTATTTTAACATCAAAAGAAAGCGTATAAAATCTATTATCTGACGAATGTGTTTTCGATTGAAGTACGTAATTTGTTACGACAAAATACTGTGATTCAGCTTTGACAACTACTGTGTTCGTGCGGAATAAATTAATTCAAAGGAGAAAAAAAAAAAAAAAGTGCACTATTGTAAACAGTTAAATTCCGAGTTAAATTCTTATCTGCTGACGGCTAGGTATCATAAACAATTCGAGAACTAAATAAACAATACCTATTTACTCGAATATTTGTAAATAAATAAACAAATAAATATACAGTGAGCGATAAAATACTATCCATATCATGTCCGGAACTTGTTCAAAGTGTCATGAGGATTGCATATTTAAGGAAAGCAAAAGCGAACTTTTTGGGTTTCCGTGCGATGCGTGCAAGGATGTCTGGTGTAAAAGATGTGCTAACTTCTCAACAACAGATGTACGTGCATTGATCCAGGTTGCCAAGCGCACTCTCCCGTTTTTTTGTGCGGATTGTATGGACTCCATCAAGCAACTTCCTCTGCTTAAGGTTGAAGTGAAGGAATCGATTAAGGAGGTTCCACTGCTGAAGGATGAGTTCAAAAAACTTCAATCTGAAGTTAATGAAATTAAAGAAAACTTGAATAAAGCAAAGAGCACATATGCTGAGGTTACCAAAATAATAAATGAAGCCGAATTGATAAGAACAAGTGTTAATAAACTCGAAAAAAAGGTTGAGGATTTTAAATCCCAAGACAAAGAAAACTTGGTTCCAGCAATTGATGAAATCAGTGAAAGAGCGAAACGGTCCTTGAATATAATTGTATTTGGGGTTCCTAAAATAAAAAATCTGAACAAGGAAGAACGGAATATAAAAGAGAAGGAGGGGGCCGTATCAATACTAAACTCACTAGATGAATCCGTACCCACTGAAAATATCAAATTGTACAGATTGGGAGGATATGATTTAAATAAGGTTAGACCTATAAAGGTTATGTTTGAAACAAAGGAAGATGCTTTAAAAATTTTAAAGAGCAAAAGCAAACTAGATGAATCGAAAGGAATATATATCAAGGGCGATCTAACTCTCCTTCAACAGAAGTACTTGAAGGAAGTTGTAGCCGAACTAAAAGCCCGAAAGGAAAGCGGTGAGTCCAACCTTAAAATTATTTACCATAACTCTATTCCAAAAATTATAAAGATCAAGCAAGGTCCAAAAAACTAATAAGCAACAATCAGGGTAGCAGTTTGGAGATTGAAATCACTTTTTGGTACAGTAACTTGCAATCTATTGCCAATAAAATAGATGAATGGTCAGTATCAATACAGAAACATAATCCTGCATGCATCTTAGTAACAGAGACTTGGCTTAATGAGAACATTGTTGATAGTATTGTTGGGATTGATGGGTCTAGTGTATTCCGCCAAGACAGAGAAAATCAAACTGGAGGTGGAGTGTGTGTTTTGGTTAAGGATGAGCTGAATGGACACAAAGTATATTCTACAGTAAACAATCAATTTAATACATTAGCCCCAATACAGTCATTGTGGATTGATATAAAGGTCTGTAACATCAAATTTCTGGTCTCTTGTATATACAGAACGGATTATTCTAGTGAGGAAAATGATAATATTATGATCAACTCAATTAAGCGTGCCTGTTCATTGGATATGCCCGTTTATATTATGGGGGATTTCAACTATCGGTATATAGATTGGAATAATCTTAATCTGTCCAACCCAGACAAACAAAATCGACTTTTTTTGGACAACTATCTTGAAACTAATGCTTACCAAATGGTTGATTTCCCAACACGTTTCCGAAATGACCAAGTTTCACTACTTGATCTAGTCTTCACCAATGATAAGAAACTGCTATATAACTTGGAACCCGAGCCACCCATAGGAAAGAGCGACCATGTCGTCATCATTGGAAAAAGTCAACTAAAGTGTGAACTGCGTCCAACGAAAACTGTATTGAAACGCAACTTCTTCAGTGCCGACTATGAGAAAATCAATAGTTTTCTGGCTGAGCAAAATTTTGCTGCCTCGGGTGATGTGTTCCACACGTGCATGTCAGTCTTAAGCAGTGTTATAGACAAGTTCATTCCTTTGAAACCATGTAAAACAAACCCACAGAAACCGTGGCTAAACCAGTTCATATTTAAACAAATAGAAAAGAAACGAGGTCTATGGGACAAATACAAAAAATCAGCTACAGATGACAATTACAAAAAATATCGCGAACAAAACAACTACCTAACAAGTGTAATTAGAAAGTCAAGAAAAGACTATGAATGCAACATTGCTTCTCAGAGCTCAGATAAAATATTTTTCAAGTATGTGAATAAAACACTATCAACCAAAGTTTCAACAATAACATTAAAGAATGAAGCGGATGAACTTTTGACTGACGACTTTGATGTAGCGGAATGCTTTGCAAACCAATTTGAAAAGGTATTCACCAAAGGAAATCAAAACGAAATGCCACTAATTCCGGAATACCTACGTGCAACTTCAAAGATGTCAAATATTGACTTATCTCCTGATAAGGTGTATGAAGCAATAAAATCGTTGAAGACGGATTCCAGCCCAGGCCCTGATGGAATTCCAGCAGTGTTCCTGCAAAATTGTGCAGCCATCCTGAGCCAACCCTTGTCTGATCTCATGAAAAGTATTTTTGAAGCTCACAATTTTCCTGAGACTTGGTCAACATCGTTTGTGATTCCGAAATTGAAATGAGGTTCAAACCAATATATGTATTCTGATGCTCAGTATTGTATTTTATAGTGTATTTTCATGTTGTATTTTATTTTATATTGTATTTTTATATTCTTATATTTTATATTTTAATGTGTAGTATTGTATAAATGTTGTTTTTTCTTTTTTTTCTTAAATGTGCTCGTGACTTAACTTGTTTATGATTTTAAACTCAAAACAGTCAATTCAATTTATATTTGGCTTGTGATGTTGGATTAGGGTATTTTTAAATTGACACGTTCTATGTCCGAAAGGGCTTTTGTGATAATTTTCTTTATATTTACAATTATGGAACAAATAAATGCTATGAAAAAAAAAAAAAAATATACAAAAAAGGAGACAAAACCGCTCCATCGAACTATCGTCCAATAAGTTTGACGTGCAATCTATGCAAGTGTATGGAAAAAATTGTGGTGAAACAGTTAACCCCATTTGTACTGGAGCAAAATCCATTACTGAAGCACCAACATGGTTTTCTTCCAGGGCGTTCTACAACAACCAACCTTACACTATGCTTGGACGATTGGACAAGGGACTTTGACAATAACGAGCAAGTGGATGTGATATATCTCGACTTTGAGAAGGCGTTCGATAAAGTGTGTCACAGTTATCTCCTGCACAAAATACATCACTTTGGCATTGCTGGGAACCTATTACAATTTGTATCAAATTTTCTATTAAACCGATGCTACCAAGTAAGAATAAATGCAATCTTTTCAGACAGAAGAAAAGTGCAGAGTGGGGTGCCTCAGGGATCAGTACTGGGTCCTCTACTTTTTTTATTGTATGTCAGCGATATGACATCTAATATCCAAACCAGGGTTCTACTTTTTGCCGACGACACGAAATTGTATGCAAAGGCCGCAGAACACAAGAAATTGCAAGAAGATCTCAGAGCTATAGAAGTGTGGTCCAATATGTGGAAAATGAGGCTAAACGAAGAAAAATGTACTATCTTGAGCATTGGAACCAACACCACTGAGTATGCCTACAAAATAAACAATTTCGAGCTGAAGCATGTGAGGGAGCAATTGGATCTAGGTGTCATAGTAACCTATAATCTGAAATGGGAGATGCACATATCAAAAATTGCCAAAAAATCCAACTCATACATATACCTTGTGAAAAAGGCCTTTGAAGACCAGTCGTGCAACACCATTATGAAACTGTATAAATCTTTCATACGTCCAAAACTAGAATACGCCCACTCAGTTTGGAATCCGTACTTCATAAAGGATATCGAGATACTAGAGCGAGTGCAGAGACCAGTAACAAAAATTCCACCATCACTCCGTAATGAAGATTACCTTACTCGACTATCCACCCTGGGACTCACTTCTTTGAGGGAAAGGCGTCAGAGAGGAGATCTGATCGAGACATACAAGATTATTCGAAATGGCTACTCCTGTAACCTTGACATCTTCACCTTCAATAACAACCCCCATCTACGAGGTCATACTTTGAAGTTGTGCAAGGAAAAAACCGCCAAGCTTCCAAGAAGAAACTTCATAGCAAATCGAATTGTCTACCCATGGAACAGCCTGTCAAATTCTACAGTCACCGCCCAGAGTCTGAATTCTTTCAAGAATAAGGTCGACACCGATATGAGTGCATTACTCCATGTGGATATTCATTATGGACAATAAGTTCTTACCAAAAACACGACGATAAACTTACAAGTAATCCAATAGTTTCATCAGTGTAAACTGCTTACTATTGTATCATAATAATAATAATAATAATGAGCGTCTTTTAAGCACGCGACGTGAAAATTGTCCAACGAGGCAAAGCCGAGTTGGACAACACGTCGAGTGACTAAAAGACATCGTTTCGTGACGTATTGTATACAATATTTTTTCTACTGGCATTTTATAATAAAAAAACATAATTTTATTTCATGTGAATAAGCCGATTACGCCCAAAATCTTTATTACCTGCTTTAGCTTGACACTTGACACTTTTCATGCGATTTTTTGGATTGGACATCAATAATTAAAATCCCAGAAAGTAACAACACAAAGTTCTGTTTTGAGTAACCCAAACGTTTAATTCAATAATTAATTTTTAATATTCATAATAAATATAAAACAAAATTCAAATCTGTGTTTAGTTTAGTGTATTTTTTATTTCTGAATAATGAATGACACTTTTAGGCACTAGTGCTTAAAAATCACTTTTACGCACTCAAAAGTCACTTTTACGCATTCAAAAGTCACTTTCACGCACTGAGTGCCTAAAAGTAACTTTTACGCACTCAGTGCTTAAAAGAATGTCATTTTAAAACTAAAATGACAATCGAAAAGTTGCTATTATGAAACGTCAGTAGAAAAAGGATTTTTGGAAATTTTGAAAGATCTTCTGTCGCTATTATAATATATTAAGCTGGATTAGTCGGTTAATCTAAAGCTAATGACAACATGTTTTTGTGATTTGATGATAAATAAACTTCAAAATAAACATAATACAATGTATATTACAGCTTACAGCTTTGTTTACAGTAGAAGTAGTTTAAAACTAAAGATTTAGGGCCATATTCTCCGTAGTTCATAAAGCCTAGCTTAGTGGAAAAGCTCGGCTTTGTCACACAAAAAGCCAAGCGTTTCCACTAAGCCAGGCTTTATGAACTACGGAAAATATGGCCCTTATAGTGGTTTTTCCTAGAGTTTTTCCTTCATTGTAAAAGTCTGTTTTTTTTAAAGATAATAGTCAAAATGACATTATGTTGGCAATACAATGTAAAAATGTCAATACTTTCAAATTTTTTATGTAGAAAAGGCTTGTGTTGCCAACAAAGTTACAAATTTGATAGCATCACTGCCGACTGTAATAGGCTGCGTCAAGGTAGCCCCCCCATAACCAAATTTCATAACTTTTTTGGTAGAATTCAATTGTGCTAGAATTGTGCTGAATTGTGCTGCCAATATTAGGAATTGTGCTGCCAATATTAGGAATTGTGCTATTTTGGTAACTGAGTTATTTACAAAAAAGTAAAAGGGGGCTAACTTGACGCTGAGCCCCCCATTTTTTTGAATTTAGAATTAAAAAAAGTGTTTTCTTTGAGAATCCGAATTGTGCTGCACATATTTTCCTTTCCATCCCACTTTATTTCATTACCCCATTTTTTGTTTAAACATTATGGCAGGGCTAACTTGACGCTCAGCCACCCCATTTTCTTTAAATTCTTATTTAAAAAAAAAGGGTGTTTTCCTTGGGAATCAGCATTGTGTTGAATTGTGCTACACATATTTTCCCTCATACTTCATACTTCATTCCATCATCCCATTTTTTGTTTAAACATTATGGCAGGGCTAACGGCTAACTGGACGCTCAGTCCCCCATTTTTTTGAATTTTCAGAAAAAAAAAAATATGTTTTCCTTGAGAATCAAAATTGTGCTGAATTGTGCTGCACATATTTTTCCTCCTACTTGTGTGAATCTTGTGGAAATACTGAAAACAAAAGTCACATTCAAAGCTACACTTAGACCGAATATCCCTTAAGTTATAGCCGTGCAAATAGCTCCTGGTCTGTTATTATCAATGTCATTGGTGATTACATGTAGGAAAATTAGCTTCATTATAGACACACTCCTTCTCAGTTTCGTATGTTAATTATAATTGTCCGTAACGTTAAGTTAAGTTGAGTGGATCAGTGGATATAAATGACCCTTTAGCCTCGCTATAATGCATAAACAAAAAATGGGATGTTGGAATGAAGTAGGAGAAAAAATACAGGGTGTGCCTGTTCAACTGATCAAAAATGCTACCTGGTGGAACCATCCAAAAAATTGATACAAATTGTTTTAAAATTTTATTTTTTTTCTTTGGGGTGGTTTCAGGTAGAAAATGGAGGTGCATTAAACGAATTTTAAAATATCATTCGTACATCAATAATCCCTGAAAATTTGAACAGCCTAGCATTATCCCTTCAGTCAGGTGATATGAAAGGGGGTTGTTTAAATTTCTACACCCTGTATTTTGGAAACGACATACTTCCGACCATCGGTGTACTATCTCAAACTACTTCTCTATGGTTCCCCTATACATATACCCATACATTTTCACCAGTTGAAGGGGGGAACCCTGTATGTGCAGCACAATTTCGATTCTCAAGGAAAATACGTTTTTTTTTTAAATGAGAATTCAGAAAAATGGGGGGCTGAGCATCAAGTTATCCCCGCCATAATGTTTATACAAAAAATGGCGTGATCGAATGAAGTAAGAGGGAAAATATTTGCAGCTCAATTCAGCACAATTCCGATTCTCAAGGAAAACACTTTTTTTTAAATTCGGAATTCAAAAAAATGAGGAGGCTGAGCGTCAAGTTAGCTCCCCTCTACTTTTTTGCAAATAACTCAGTTACCACAATAGCACAATTCCTATTATTGGCAGCACAATTCTGCTCAATTCTAGCGCAATTGATTTCTACCAAAAAAGTTATTAAATTCGGTTATGACGCAGCTACTGTAATGGCTGCCTAATTTGGCGGTTCGTTCATAAATTATTCTATAATCACTAGAATATTTTTTAGGAATTTCAATGATTTTTTAAGATTTTGCGAGATTTTTTTTCGTTTTAATAAAATTTTGTGGAATTTTGTATGATTTTATAGGATTTTGAGAGATTTTAAGGAATTTTGTGGGATTTTGTTAAATTTTTAAGGATTTTAAAGATTTTTAGGGATTTTAAGGAGATTTTACAAGATTTTTTGGGATTATGACCAACTTGTCACGAATTTTGATGAGTTAACCGCCCCTCGGTTTCAATTCGTAATATGACTTGTAGCCCCATTATCCACAAACCAGCTGTTCTCCTCATATTCGCTAAATAAGACACTACTTGTTAAGGCAACTAATATCATATTTGTATCCTTATTTTTATGTGTTCTGTTATTTCTTGAATTTGAGCTTTCTGGTTTTGGAGGTCTACCATCTTTTAATTTATTTAATACATTGTTTGACCTTATGATTGGTCTTACGACTTCCATAAAGATGTACAATGTTCTTCAACAGATTTGTATACATTATCAAAGGCCTGTTTATTCATCTTATGATAAATTGCAATCTAACAGATCTGAAGATGAATAAACCAATCCTAATTACATTTAATTTTTTAGACTCCTTTAGTGGATACATTAATGTCAGCAGAAAAACACAACTTAGATGGCCATTATCCTATAAATTCCTACAGGAAATTGTTAGTTTGCGAGCTGTTGCCTTTGTTGGCCAAACAAGAAATCAAACTCGAATTAGGACATAGATTATTGTTGAAACTTTTAAATAAGGCTTTGGAGTATTATTTTTGTTGCCTGGGCAAATCTAGTACCAATTTGCAGGATAAAGACTCCAATAATATAAATACTTGGGCTAAATTATTTTCTGTACTAGAGTTTATTGGTAAACAATTAAATTGGGAACAACAATTGACTAATTTTACTTTAAATTGGTATGTAATTTTATCATAAATAGATTTTGGTTGTTAGGAAATATTTTTTTAGGTCCAAAGAAAGCTACTGGCAAAAAATCTTAAGCTATTGCCAAGTTAAACCAAAAAACTTATTATACGAAGACAAACAATTATTGTATTGTTTGTCAATATTTTCATTGTATTGTTTGCAAGAGTATAATGCTAGTTTAGTGCCTGAGCATCCTCCAGGACAACCTGCAACGTCTTACTTATTAGTTGAAGGATTTTTAGGTAAAAATTAAAAATAAAAACACATAACTTGATTTAATAATAATTTATTTAGATCCTAGTTTGCCTAGCCCTATTTCTGAGCCAAAAACCAAAAAACGAAAAAGCGACGGTGGTGATTCAGCCCATCCAATAAACGCCCATGTGTCTGTGGAAAGGCCCGACTTGAAAATAATGCAAAGTAATTTTTTGATGTGTGTAAACTGTTGGGAATTGCTTTATTCTTCTGAGAATTTACACAGAGAGTTTCTTAAAATTTATTCATATTTGAAACTTGATACTTGGCTGTCACTGTTTATAATAGATTATGCTGTATATAGAGCAAGATATGATGAGGCATTGGTTTGCTTGCAGAAACTTGATGAACCAAAGTTTGTCTTACAAAAATTTACTAGGATGGCCAGTATATTGTATTTTATGAAAAATTACAGGGTAAGTTTTGAAATTTCATTATTAGCATTTGATGTCAAAATTTTGCATTTGATAAAAGTAACATGTTCATGTTTGTCCAAATATTTTAGGAAATATTTATTTTCATTTTTGGCAATTGAAAATGGTGAACTGGGAAGACTTTCTTTGGATTCAGGGTAAAGCTTGGAGCTCGATTTGGATTTTTTGTGTTTGGTTTTCTTTACTATGCAAGAACTGGAATTATCTTTTTTCTTTGTGAATTGGTTAACATTAGAATTGTCAGAAATTGGAGTTTACTACTCTAGGTGTTGAGCAATTTGGGGTGATTTATCAATTTTTCAATTTTCCTGAGTGCCTTTTTTCATAGATTCCGGTTTCAAATCTGAGAATAATGTAGTGTATGGAGTTTGGGGTATGTTGATTGACCATTAGGATACAAAATCTTGACAAAATTTTTTTTCAAATTTCCTTATAATAACCTTATGATTTAGATTTTGGAAAATTTTGAAAAGTCATAACTTTTTTTCTATTATAGTTAGAAAGCTGAAACTTTCACTGAATTTTATCCCAATCAAGGGACTACAATCCCTGAAAATTTTAGCTCATTTGCACGTATAGTTCCTGAGATAAAATCATGTTAAACAATTTGGGGTGATTTATCAATTTTTCAATTTTTCTGAGTGCCTTTTTTCATAGATTTCTGCTTCAAATCTAAGAATAATTTAGTGTATGGAGTTTGGGGTATGTTGATTGACCATTAGGATACAAAATCTCGACAAAAAAAAAATTTGAAATTTCATCGTTTTAGTAAGAAGGTACCTACCTTATGATTTAGATTTTGGAAAACTTTGGAAGGTTATAACTTTTTTTCTATTATAGATAGAAAGCTGAAACTTTCACTGAATTTTATCCCAATCAAGGGACTACATTCCTTGAAAATTTCAGCTCATTTGCACTTATAGTTCCTGAGATAAAATCATGTTAAACAATTTGGGGTGATTTATCAATTTTTCAATTTTTCTGAGTGCCTTTTTTTATAGATTTCGGCCACAAATCTAAGAATAATTTAGTGTATGGAGTTTGGGGTATGTTGATTGACCATTAGGATACAAAATCTCGACAAAAAAAAATTTGAAATTTCATCGTTTTAGTAAGAAGGTACACCTACCTTATGATTTAGATTTTGGAAAACTTTGAAAGGTCATAACTTTTTTTCTATTATAGATAGAAAGCTGAAACTTTCACTGAATTTTATCCCAATGATGGGACTACAATCCCTGAAAATTTCAGCTCATTTGCACTTATAGTTCCTGAGATAAAATCATGTTAAACAATTTGGGGTGATTTATCAATTTTTCAATTTTTCTGAGTGCCTTTTTTTCATAGATTTGAGAATAATTTAGTGTAAGGAGTTTGCGGTATGTTGATTATTCATTAGGATACAAATTCTCGACAAAAAAAAAACAGCCTGGAATAGGATTTTTATTCATCTCAAGTTGAATTTCAGCCCAACCGGGTGCAAAATGAGTTTCTCAAACTGCCCTATTAATTACCAACTTAACAGACAAAAACCTAAAAATTCCTAAATTATCATTTCAGGCCTGCCTAGAACCAATTCTACTTTCTCTACCCCTATTACCATTGAACAATTCCGGTAACTTAAGTACGCATTTAATAGTGGGCGGAACTCAAAGACACCTCCACTATCTGCCAGTAACTAGAATGACGATTTTACAATATTTAACCAAAATTTTACTGAGATGCGTCAAAGAAAACATGATAAAGCATGACTACAGCGAACTGTCCATTGGTCACATTTTCGTGCTGGCCCAACTGGATTGGCCCCAAGAAGAAGACTTCATTCCTCAATTGTTGGAGGAAATTAAAAAACACAAATCCTTCCAGTATCATTTATTCCAGAACTATATTGTTAATGTTGATATAATGGAAGAACTTACTTATTTGTGGACGCCGCAAGGAGGACAAATAAATTTAGAGATTTTGCCTAATTTAGGGTAAGAATCTAGTTTTTTTTTTATCAAATTTGATTGGGTAAGTTTTTTTTAAGGAGTCAACGTAGGATTGGTACAAGAGGCGCTGATAAAGGAGCAAAAGAAGAACTAAAACAAGCCATTAAAAGACAAGTAGCAAGAAGTAATGAAAAATTAGACGATTTGATTATTAATTTTTTACAAAACGAACGAGCACTTATACTGCAAGCGCTCGTATGATGCAGACAGGACTTGGTTATAGAACATTTTGTAAAACCCTGAGGAAAAGTTGCAAGGAAAAAAAAGGCTAAAAAGAGTGATTTAGTTATTTTTCCAGTGTACAATAATGTTAGCAATAATAATAGGACTGTGGTTAAGAAATTGACAATTGTGAATAATGATTTGGAAATATTTCCTTGTGATAGGGCTAGAATTATTGAGAATAAAAATGTAATTATTGAGGATTTGGAGATTTTCCCTGTTAATAATATTGTGTAGCCAATAAGTTGTAAATACATTAATTAATAAACTTATTTAATGTAAATTTTTACTCATTGAGCGTCTCCATTAAGGTCTGATAGTGACGTCATTGTATATGTCAAGGATAGTGCACTAAAATTGTGACGTTTTCATCAGTACACCCAATGCCAATGTACTCTTTACAAGAAGTTTTTAGGGTCCCTGTATGTGTATGTGGAAAAAATAAAACTATGAGAAATTTATTAGTTATTTTATTAAAATAACCGTGGCTCGTTTCCACAAATCGGCATTTCAGTTTTGGGGCTTTTTCGAGAAAATTTTTATATAACGGACCAGGCTGGCAGAACCTGAAAGCAAGTGTGCGTACCTAGCAGGACAAGTTTCCATCCTAGGATCAATTTTCTACTAGGTGACAATTAAATTTTAATTATTGAAGAAAAGCTTTTAAAATTTAATTAAGAATAGGAACACCTTAAGAAACCCAATTTTGATTAATTAATTTTTATTAAAAAATACACAGACGCTTTATTATTTAAATGAATAAAATCATTAATCATAATTATTTTATTTTTACTTAGAATTAAATTAAGCCCTAAATCTATGAGACCAATTACATTATAAATTACTGAAATATTTTCATTTCATGGGGGAACTGAATCCTGCTGATGTGATGAAAAATGCTTATGGGGAAAAATATGGTATAAGAAAGTCAACATGGTCAGCTTCAAGTTTCTGTACTCCTGTTCGAAACTGTTCTAAATTTGCATATATCCATATTTGTTTTAACAATAAATTGATTTGTTTATTTTATTTGGGTGTCACTTTGTTTTGTGGGTGACTACAGTGGGAGAAAGAAAGTTGTTTATAATTTATACTTTCTTGAGCTTGAGACTCCTTTTTTTTTCGATTGATTAATCAATCATCATGTTCTTGATTCTTGAAAAAATAAAATAATTATCCTACTAGAATAATTAATTAGTCAGGGATTATGTGTTTTTTTCTATTATAAATGGAAGAGGATAATGGAAAATATAAATGTTTGTTTTAAAAAGTAAATCCCTCGGAATTATTACGTGAATAAATAGCAGGAGAACAGAAGCAGGAGTCGTTAAATATGGCATTGTTGGAATTCTTTCATAAGTTCGAGTAGACGCGCGAAAGTGTCTGAATTGGTTTTTATATCCTTATTTTGCTCATCAAAAGGAACAAAGACGAAAGATGCTCCGAGCACCAAAGCAAGGCATATAAACGTTGCATTCAACCGACGTCACGATCGTAAATATTGAAAATCAAAATCCTGCTTCCAAATCATTGAAAAAAAGTAAATTTATTTAAAACTATCGTGTATGAGTATGAAACAAGGCTAATCTCAACTAATAAATATTCTTTTAATGAAATTTTTACCATAGAAATACTCAAAGGCCATTTTCTTTTGGCCTCCTTTTCTAATATCTTTCTTCTTCTGCACTCCTGCTGTCAGGTGGCGCCAAAGGACACCCTACACGCTTTCCCCACTCCCACACGAGGCGCCTCGAAAATCCCCGAGCCCCTTGAACTCTTTTCTCTGTCACTCTCACTCTTGCAGTTCTGTTCTATAGTGAAAATATCCTTGATGAAAATCCACGGTCGATTTCTGTTCGCCTGCTACGATTCGCGATCTTGTGACGTAACGCTGCCAGAAATGATGAACGGCTGACAGGTGTCATCGAATGGAAAGGTGTAAAAGAAAGGGAATTAATTTGAGATGAAGGCTAGGAGTGAAGCGATGTTGCCACGTTGATTTTTTTTTATTGGGAATTTTGTCAAGATTGTATGGCCATTTGCATCGACCATTTTTAGAAAGATTCAACGATAATCAACGCTTAAAGTGACAGTTTTACGCTGGTGTAGTCCTGGATGAGTATCTTTTGATAAGGATAGTTGATTTTAGAACAAAACCGATCTTTTTAGTTTTTCATAAGCTATCATGTGACGCCAATTTTGAATTTAACCGGAGATTAAATTTAACCAGAATTCTTGAAAATTGAAAGTTGGTGTTGACGTCACAGATCTCTACAGGAGTGCTTCGAGAGCGGTTATAAACCAAACATGATTTTCGCAGAAATCTCTGACGTCATCGCCCAGACGGAAACCGCTCTGTAATGGCGATTTCCATTTGTCAATCAATGCGCAATGAGTGTATCCGCATCTTTTTCTAAAAGCATGTAACATGTAAGGATAAGGATACATAATGTTCAAGTCTGTACGAGGCTTTAGGTTTCACAGCCTGTTAAAGTTGCAAAAAGTCAATTAAGGGACCCGTACATTTTACCGTCAGGATTCTGAATGTCTGATAACTTTCATGACGTCATATGGAGTGATTTGGGGCGGGTATTATAGAACTATTTTGACAGATAACCAAAAGTTAACTTCTGGTATTACTCGAACTATCGTATTGTTCCGTGCTGCTGCCGAAAGCCAAGCACGTGGTTCATTGATGTACGGCCAGCAGGCATATTTATTTAGTTTATTTTCTATCTAAGTTTTGTCTTAAAAGATACCCCGCTGCTGGTTTCAGGTCACGGCCGAGGTCACGGCAGACAGCGAGAGATAGACGAGGGAGAGAGATCCGACCCGCTTCGCGCAGTTTTCCGTGTCGTCACCGTACTCTTTACTGCTGACGCGGACTTTAGTGTGTAATTTCCTTGATAGCCCGGTTCAAATTAGAGCGAGTATTATAGAACTATTTTGAAAGTGAACTCCTGGAATTTATTATGAGAAGAAACGTCATTCCAGAAGTTAACTTTTAGTTATTTTCTCAAAATAATTTTATAAAACCCGCCCTTAGTTTCTCGATCGTCGTTCGATTCGCTGTTCGGTGTAATGTTCGAGTCTGTACGAAGCTTTAGGTTTCATAACCTGTCAAAATTGCAAAAAAGTCAATTTTCAACTGTCAATAGCTTTGTTCCAACCCAGTAGGAAACCGTACATTTTACCGTAGGATTATTAGCTTTAGGCGTATTTTAGCGACAGGTAAACATCATACTACACATACTACGATTCATGACGTCATAGTTACCCAAATAACAGGTGGAGTGTATTTGACAAAGGGTCTAAGAGAGGACGCCACGATCGTTGTTTATTTGGATTTGTTGAATTTTGTAAAATTTAGCGTTTTCGAGTTTCAATATTATTTCTCCAGTGAAGATTTTCGAATATTTTTGATAGATTGTGGTATTTTTGAATTTTATGGGTACCCTATGCCAAAAAAAAAAAATTACACTTTTGTGCACAAGTGAAGATTTTTTATTTTTTTTGCAGAAAACCTCTAAAATAAAATCACAGAAAACCATGGCAAAATGAGGAAAAACAATCCTCTATTTATAATGGAAAGAACTGTGTCGGTAATCGTAGCGTAATCAGCTGATGTTTTGCCCATATGCTCATTTTCGTGTATTAGAAAAAGATGCACTGACATACTACAACCAGTAACTATCCCTCCTAGGATGTTTACATGTTTACAGTCGAGTTTTATGTTGTGTTTTATGTTGTGACGTCATAGTATGTTAGCCATGCTCGCTAAAATGTAGTATCCCAAGTAAATACAACATACTACTGGGTTAAAACTCTCGCTAAAATACGCCTTTTGTTTTGGTTTCACTCAGAACTAGTTCGGAATCATCCTGCGCCTGCGCATATTACAAAACGCGTTTTGGTTTTTTCAGAATCGTAATCGAACTGTGTTGACAGTGTTTTCGTTTATCTAGAACTTTTTGAGAACAATTCTGGGATTGTTCTAGAACGGTTCTCTCAGTTCTTGCTCTGAAGGAGGAACTGTTTTAGAATTTTGTGTTTTGGTTTTTTTGGTTCCGAATTGGTTCAGAACTAGTATTAGAACAGTCCTCTATTATTTTTTGTGCGCAAGCAGTTCTGCGCAATTCCAGAACCGTTCCAAGTTTCGAACCAAAACAAAGCTAGTGTCTGATTACTTTTATGATGTTATCTGGGGTGACTATACATATAGGGCAATCCAAACAAAATGGCGGTCAATGCATGGTCAATGCCAAAAAATCGGCGCCATAAATTTAACTCACACAACCGTGACATTTTTTTTATCAAAAAACTGTTTTTTGTGGTATTTTTAGATGATTTTTTAGTGTTTGGGAGGATAATTTTCGTATCTTAAGATGGAAAGTTTTTAGTTTAAGAAATTATTAGTGGAAAACCCGGATAAAAAGGCATTGGCCTCCATTTTGAATTCCATTTTGACAGGTCGTTGGATTGCCCTATTACAAATCGCCATTAGATCTTCCTGATGATGTCATCTGTTTACCATTACCAGACAAACCAATTGACAAAAACAACCTTGCCTCAACCTTTTTTTTCAAAGGTATGACGTCATTGATGACGTAACTGCAAACGACAAACCTTCGTGGAACGAACTATAGAATCGTCATTGGTAGAATCCGAAATTTGTATACAGAGTGGTTCCAAAACCGTTCTTGGGACGGTCTTCTGGCGGATTGGAACAGACCTAATATTACTGAAACAGTTGAAGATCGGTAGAGGGAAATATGTCTAGAATGTTCCGTAGAATCCAGAAAAGTTATAATATACAGGGGGTACCATTTAAAAACATAAAGTTGATAACGGTACAAATGCACTTGGAACACTCTGTATAAAAAAATTGGTGAGAAAAAATTCCTAACAAAAAAACAAAATCGACGTGTCCCAAGCTTCCCAAAGTTGATGATGATGCACAGATGACGTCATTTGAGATGACGTCATAAAAATTATTGGACCAGTCTGAGCGTTTTTCCGAAAACGCCTTCATTTATTATATTGAATTTATTCCATACTTTATGTACACACTGTTTATAATTTTACGGCCTTTGAAGGGTGCGTAAAGTACGTATTTTACGCACGGTAGTAGAAAAACTACATTTTTTGGCAATAAATAGATGGACTTCTGTTAATTTGTTAAAGTGGATTCGAGTCAATAGAATAATTAGGAAAACATTTCAAATCTAATGAAAATTTCATGATATCAAAAATATAAATCTGGCAACGTTGCTTACTATCACCTTCAACTCGATTCTTTTCGCACTACTAGCGCCATCTGTTGTATAAGCCCTGTACTACGTTTACTAATTATAAAAATAAGTGATTTTTCCTTGATTTTTCAATGAATATGGTCCAGTTGAGGAAACCGTCGGAAGACAAAACGGCCTCGGATGCTGCGAAGAAGTGGGAAAACCGCGAGTTCTCGCGACCATCTTCCCTGATTTTATCAGGGGCACAGCGCCACGTTTGGGTGTTGCCAACTGAATCAAGGACTATTAACGCTGCAGGTTAAACTAAAGTGGATAATGACGTCAGCATCAGTACACAAAGTAGAAGTAAAGCAATTTGGTGCAATCTAACACACGAGCACACTGTTTCGAGTGGCTTCCCATGTTGCTTTGTTGCTAAAACTGTATTCTCATAAAGAGAGAAAGGACATACAAATTATTTAGCGGAGCAACAAGGATGGTTGCTATTGAATCTTACCTTCTGTTTCTGTTTGCCTGATAAGTGCGCTCGAGTTTTAGCAACCATGTGTAACCGTTTTTACGTCATATGTGGCAAGATTTGTACTATACCTTTATACCTATATGAACAATGAAGATATTTAATATTTTATTTTATAAAAATTAGGTTTCATTGAAAATGAGGAGGTTTGAAATTTGCAAATATATTTCAGTCTCAAAATGTGCTTTTTCAGCTTCACACAAAAGCGCTTGTAACCGAATTACATCATCATATAAATCTTATTATAATTTTAATACCTTTTGATCTTATGTTTTAGAACCAAATTAGTATCAGGAGATCAGCAAACGTGCCTGGTTTCATAAAAGCATGTTCGAAAATTTCAGTCAGAGTATAGTTTACTGGAAATAAACGATCTCTTTGAATTTTATGCTGGCTTGTTCGGAGCGGAGTAGGTCTGTGCGCGAAAACTGACATCATTGTGAACCTTGTTTTATAAATGCTCCGGAACCACCTTTACAAAAATTGAGTGTAAACTGTTGATTGATTATCTGTTCGTTCTTATGTTGGCCTGTCCGTTTGGAGGCTCTAAAGGCGTTCCTAGGGGGTTGGACGAGGCGTAGCCCCGAATTCCGTGTGGGTCGTGACGTAATTTTCCTTTCAAACCGCCTTGCTAGGTCAGAACACAGAACACCTTAATAAAAGGCGGTGCAATTATGACTGATCGAGGAGGTGTAACTGATCTATGATTGTTTTTTTTTTTTAATAACTATATAGTCAGTTTGAAAGGGAAAAAAATTGTATCTTTGAATTATCAAAAATTGAGCAGAGACAAAAGAAAACCCTTATAGTGTTCCAGAGTAAATAATTAATAATTTTTTGTCTGGAAAACGATAATTGCAACAATTATTTTGAAATAGTTTAAAGTTTTTTTTGGGCAAAATTCTTCTATTTTGTGAATTTTATATAATCTATGCTTAGGTACTTATATATAATAATTGTGGTTCCTTTTCCTTACCACAACTAATTAAATAATTAATTTAATAATGATGTAACAACAGCCTATATAAGTTGAAATTCCCAGTTTTTTTTTTTTGCTTTGTGAGCATATTGTATTTGCAAACGTTTTCAATTTAGCGCCACGATTACCGTGGTAGTACTGCATCTTTAATAATCATCTTGGATTAGGAATCTTCTTTATCGATTTCTTGAGTGCAAACCGCCATAGGATTTAAAATATTCATATTCACAATGAAATATGAAAAACAACAATAAAATTGACAACTAGATGGCATTACTATACACTGTGGTTACCTAGGTAACGTAATTCCCGCCTACTATGTCAACATTCGAATACAACCACAATATACAACTAAACAGGTATTACTATCTCGATTTCATGATATTATACTACAGCTTCGTTTTATTTCGTGTCCGGTTCGAGTTTTAGTTGTACCGTAGCTTTCGTACTGTAAGGTGGTACCGCTTCAATTGGAAACCGTGTCAAATTAAAGTACCTACCAGCAGATTGAATATTATTTGAAACAGATTTTCAAATTGTTGCGTGTGGTTTATAAGAAAACTTTTAAGTGCAGAAAAAAGGTGGTACTGGATTTTTGGTACCGTTTCGATTTATTGTAAACTATAACCAGAAATAATCCATTTCTGGTTAACCTTCGCTTTATTTATTTTTTTTTTTTTGTTGCTTTGGGCTATTTTATATCGATTGGAAATACCTACATCTAAATAATGGTGAGTTGATGTTGAATTAAATTGTTGATAATTTTTTCAAAATTATTGTATGCAAATTTTGTATTTGTTGTTAATGAGTTAAGCAAACAAATTTTTTTTGTTGAGAATTGCGTCAATATAATCTTATCTATTGTATTAATTGGCAATAATAAGATGTTGAATGCTTATATATATATATATATATATATTTTAATAAAAAATGGGATAAATATGTAAAACAGATAAAATAAAGTATACAGGGTGTAAAAAAAATAGTGTGTGCTCCCGAAGAAGTTACAGCTCTTCAAACGAGATGAAAATAATAGATTTTTTTTTTTTAAATTAAAAAAAGTAGTGACAGTTCTGAATCTGAAAGGGTAGTTTCCATAAGGGTAGAGGGTAGTTACTCACAAAACAAAAAAGTATCTTATGTGCATAGGAACTTTTTTTCTTATTTTCATATGTAGTATCATTATCCCTCGAAGTCTGGTACACTATTTTTTTACACCCTGTATAATAGAGATTTATAAATGATAGATAATTCATAGTTTTTTCAGAATTTGTATTAAACTATAAATATATGGTGCTCACCTTTTAGCAAGGTTTACCATGGCCTTACATGGTATTATAAAGTTTTTTTTTTTCAATTTGATGGTCATATGATCTGCAAGCAAACTGGTTTATTAGTTTTCATAATACGCGAAATTTTTACTGTCGCTCAATTTCAGTTAGCAACAAATCCCGATTCCCTAAATATTAGCGTTGATTGATATTAGGGATGAACATTTCTGTAAAAACTTTACAAAGGATACCTACCTATTCTAAGATAGATATAGTACTAATGTAGTTGCCTTATAATTTGGATTTTTAAAAACTTTGACCCATCACTTATTTTCTATTATGAATAGAAAGAATAAAATCGTGTTAAACAATTTTGGGTACTTTTATCAATTTTTCAATTTTTCTGAGGGCCATTTTTCATAGAATCCGGCTCCAAATTTCAGAATAATTTAGTGTATGGTTTTTGGGGGATCCCAAATGACCATTAAGACACAATATTTCAACAAAAAAAAAATGAAAATTCATCGTTTAAGTAAGAAAGTAGCTAGCTAGGTACCTTATAATTTAGATTTTGGAAAACTTTGAAAGGTCATAACTTTTTTCTATTAAAGATAGAAAGCTGAAATTTTCAGCAATTCTTATCCCAGTAGAGGACTGCAATCCCTGAAAATTTCAACTCATTTGGACTTATAATTCCCGAAATAAAATCGTGTTAAGCAATTTGGGTTGATTTATCAATTTTTCTATTTTTCTGAGTGTCATTTTTCATAGATTCCGGCTCCAAATCTTAGAATAATTTAGTGTATGGAGTTTGGAGGATCCCAAAGGACCATTAGGTCACAATATCTCAACAAAAAAAAAATTGAAATTTCCTCGTTTTAGTAAGAAGGTATGATTTAGATTTTGGAAAACTTTGAAAGGTCATAACTTTTTTCTATTAAAGATAGAAAGCTGAAATTTTCAGCAATTCTTATCCCAGTAGAGGACTGCAATCCCTGAAAATTTCAACTCATTTGGACTTATAATTCCCGAAATAAAATCGTGTTAAGCAATTTGGGTTGATTTATCAATTTTTCTATTTTTCTGAGTGTCATTTTTCATAGATTCCGGCTCCAAATCTTAGAATAATTAAGTGTATGGAGTTTGGAGGATCCCAAAGGACCATTAGGTCACAATATCTCAACAAAAAAAAAATTGAAATTTCCTCGTTTTAGTAAGAAGGTATGATTTAGATTTTGGAAAACTTTGAAAGGTCATAACTTTTTTTCTATTGTAGATAGAAAGCTGAAATTTTCGAAAAATCCGTCCCTTTCAAATTGGATAATATTTGACAGATGTCAAAGTCAAATTTGATGGATCGACATTCAATGAGCTTGTAAAAAAATTAACTTTTGTCAAATATTATATTTAATGACTATAGGGATGAGCTAAATGGACATTGACATTTAGCTTCAAGCTCTGTCAGGTCAGATCCCAGAGTTTTATGTCACATATATAGCATGTTCATATAAAAAGTTGAAGTTGAAGATTTTCCTACAAGCAAATTTTATAATTTTTGTTAAAACCCTGTATGTTGTACAGTACAAAGTTCAAACTTTGCGATTCCATGTAGAGAATGTTTGATGTTTTGTGGGAAAAAAAGGTGTTCCTTTAAAAATAACACCATTTCTGCATTGCTTTATAAAACACCCATGTATATTGGGGGTAGGGACTAGTTTTGAAAAATATTTATAGAGCCTCTTTGAAAGACAATAAACAGCTTTGTGAGATCTCAAAGTTTAATCTTTATACAGGGTGTCCACGCAAAGTTAGAGGCCTTTGAAGCTAAATCATTTTTTTTTTTTAAATTGTAAGTTTTGTCAAACACCTTGTATGTATTGTTGTTTTATTATGAAGGTTCTAAAGTGAGTACAATGAAGATTTATAAGCTGGGTCTGCATTAATTAACATTGAGAATTTATTTTAGCACTTTTTGATGTTAATTTTTCACATAATGCTGACCCATTTTGCAATAAAAATCTGTTCTTAAATTTGTATATAGGCCTTAAATTGAATGGCCAATAGTAACCTTAAGCAAAACAAGCCCTTTATGTTGTTATAAGACCAGAAAATGTTATCATTATTATAATTGCCAGGCACTCCATTAAATAAACAAAAAGACTAATTATTTATAAACTTGTATATTGCATCCGTTTTGTGAATGTAGAATTTCACTTTCTCGCTCAACAACAAAAATTGTCTATAAAGAAACTTGATATTATTCAAATAACAATTAGGTATAATTTATTAGTCATATGATATGATAGGTGCCGCCCACTATAGAATGACTAATCCTTGTTTTCTGATATAGTTAACAACTCGAATTTTGAGAGTTAGTTTTTAAAAAAAATTATTTTCAATGGTGTTTACAATACAACTGACTTAAACCTAAGTAAAATTAATATTTATAATTATTAGGAACGAAATGCAACGGTCGGACTAGTTCTGAAAACAAAGTAACAAACTGCTGAACTCTAAGTTTATGAGAATGTAACTCCTAAGTGTAAGTTGAAAGCACGTACTGAAAAATAAAAAACGTGATTTCACAAAAATACAAAAATAATTAAAAAATGCCTTCAACTTCATCACTTTCACTTTTTGGGAACTTTCGAATTTTCTTAATGCACAATAAGCTGAAAAAGTAAATTAAAATTAATATAATGATTAAGTATAATAATATTGTCCAGAGACTGAGGCGATTTGAATAAATCGTCGTGGTTGACATTTCTTCAAGTTTCTTCTTTTGTTCATGAAGTTTTTCTTTTATGTCTTTGGATGTCTTGACGTTAATGATGTTCAAATCCAATGAAGGTAGGTCGTAGGGCATTGATTGGTTATGGTTAATCAATGATAGGTCCAATATCGGTAAATTGACTTCTTTGAAAGAGAGTCGACTTGGCTTGAAGCTCTCGAGGGTGGTTGATTGTATTTTGGCTTTACAATCAACGGGCACTTCTAGTAGGTAGGATCCGAAGATGGGTACAGTTTCCTTTAGGTTTTGACAGTTCGTTGAACTTTGAAGTGGAATAGGAACTGTAACGAGCCATTTTCCATCAATAATTTTGGTTATTTGCGGTGCGTGCAATTGAACTTCGAAAGGATGACAAGATGTGATGTTTGTACTGTATTTAATCAGCTGTACTTCGCATGGAAGGTAGTTTTCGATAAAGGTAGTACGGGCTTCTTGACATAGGTATTCATCAGGCGAGATTTCTTCACAACGTTGGTCCATATAGAAGTATTTGACGTCACTTAGTGCTAGGTATGGCTTATGTGGGATGTTGACGAAAAAGGTTTGATTATGGTTTGTTGGGATAGGTAATGGATGTAGATTGAAGTATTGATACACATCCACTTCTACAAGTGGGAGTTCCAATATAAATATGACATTAAAATCTTTTAAGAAACATTTAATTTGTAGAAATTTCTCGAAAATCAGTATGTTTTCAGGTACTGGAGAAATTCGACATTTTTAATTTCAGATAAAAGTTCGTTTGGGTTCACTATCGAGTTATGTAAGGTGTTAAGTTTGGAAAAACTTATAGCTACTTCCAATTTATCAAGAATACTATAAATTGATTGATACATTAAAGTAATTTGATTAATTACTGTGAACGTTATAAAATAACCTCGAATGTTTTGGGTTAAATTAGCGTCTTTAATTACTTGTTCAATTTGTAAAATTCGGGATCAAAGGACCAATTCGTTATGTGTTATATTAGAAATCATTTTATCGAATTTATCAATCGTAGAGTCCATTAAGGTGATTTGATTGATTGCGTCCGATTTAACCTTATTCTGATTTTCTTGTAATAGTTTAATTTTCTCGTCGATTTTCTCGGCGTCATTTTGGTCATCATTTCCAGTAATGACTTTTATAAATGAGCCCAAAGGATTAAATAATCCTCTCTTAATTCTATTTGAATTTCCTACTGTTGGAACAATTTGTTCGATTAGATTTTCTATGTGTTTTTCTAGGGTATGTAGGGATACGAGCGAATTCGAATATTCAATATAGAAATTGTCTTTAGAGCTTATATTGGAAGATAAGCGTCTTGCTTGTATTTTAAGAGAGTCAAATTGGTTTATTATGGGAGTCAAGTTAAAGGTTTGTGCAAAGGACCATGAATTGGATATCATTTTGGCGGTTCCCAACTTAAAAGAAAGGATTCCTGGATTTTTATTCAAGTTATGGTATTTTACGTTGGTTCCAAGGGTCCATGTCCATCTAAAACAAGGGGTTTAATTTTAGTTTCGTTTATATGAATTACTTCTTTATGTTTTGTTTTCGGATTTTCTATCTCAATTTTATTATTAGGCAGAATTTGAGTGAGAGTGAAAGGACCTAAAAATTTCTTTTTAGATTTTCCCGCTCGATTGTCGGATTTTTTATAAACTTAACAACCTACTTTTAAGTTTTG